GATTTCTGCCAAGCCATCAACAAGCAATCCTGGCCAAATGGCAGACTTGCCAAGATCAGTTGAGTGAAATCTAAGATACAGCAAAACATCTCATTCAGGGATTTGCTTTCTAAAAACAACTTATTAACTCCACAGAGAGTAAGTGGAAAACAAGTTATTTAATACCATTAAAATAGATTTTAATTCTCTACACTCAACCTAGCGTTGTTACCAGAATGTACCATGTCTCAGCAGAAAACAATGAAATCCCAAAATGGGTTGTCCCACAGATGTGTACAAAGATGAGTTTGTTTAGGGAGCTGAGGGGTAACGTGACTTGCCAGTAAGTGCTCCAACAGAAACAGTGCCTTTAGATGTGGATGGTGTGTCTACACCCTACTGATCAGACCACACGTCTGCCTGCATGTCTGGGTGAGGTTTGGGGACAGTTCAAGATACCACACATGGCTTCGTCATCTGTAGTTTTATTCCTAGTGGAAAGAACAAATTGGTGGGTGGATTTCTTCCTCTTTTAATGCTTCAGCAGTAGCTCTCAAGCGCTTTGCGTGTCATGTCACCAGATCTCCTCTTTTAGGGCCAAGTCTAATTTGTAGTAGGAAATAAAAGCAGCTGTTCCATCCAGTCTGGGAAAACGCTGGAAAGGGTGGATTCCAATTACTGCCATTCTTTTTATTTTTTGTGATCTCTGCACTCATCTGTCCATAGTAATAACACACAGTGAGAGCTGCTGCCCCCACTGGAATGGGAAGCTGAACAGTACACAGGCACTACCCAACATGGTACTTACAGTCCTATGAATGTCTCCCTGCTTATTCCTGCTCACAGCTTCCTAAATACTACCGAATGTTCAGGGGGAGGTGCTTTCTCACTTGTGTTTAAGTTATGTGTGTTTAATTTAAACTTGTAAATCCCGTATTTGTATAGAAACTTACTAAGTTTCTTGTATCAGAAAGTATTAGTGTACTTCTGTGAGCCATACACTTCTCAGAGTGGCTAATTTCAGCCACCTTTAGGGGCTCTGCCAAGTCTGTCCCCATAACCCCACTTCTTCAGCATCTTGATAGCTCATTCTAGAAGTTAGGACTCAAGACAGCTGAACCGCATATCACACCAATGTTTGTTCACTGAGTCAACTTCATAGTGCATTTCTTCAGGGTCGCTTTCAGGTCTCGGAAAAATGGAGGACACTTTGTTTTCTGCTATGCAATGCCATTACGACTCCACTAGTCTCTCTTCAGAATGAGTTTACACCGATAAAACATTTCCTATACTACTTACATTTACTTGCTAAGGCAATTAAATGTTACTGCGATGTTTGCACTGTTTTCCTTTGCCTACAATCTGCCCTCTTAAAACGGGACATATATGCACTTAAGAACTACACAACCCACTTCATCTTCCTTTCTGTTACTGTTCCTCAGTCAATTAAGGTCTCAACTTCAGAAAAGCCCAGCAAGCAGATGTTAGTTTTAAAGGGTAATTCTGAATTTAGCTAGCTCAGAACTGGGAAGCAAAGAATGGACTGTGTGATTAATGAGACATGATTTAGAACTTTTTAAAATTAATTTTTAAAAAATGTGCAACTAGTAGAAAAGCCAAAGAAAGATCTGGATTTCACTTCAGGCACCATCTGTTCTCATCTCCGAGCCATTACCACAGCACAGGAAAACCAACTGTAACATTAAGAGGCAGAAAAACCCTCCAAGGTCTCTCATTATTCTACCAAAAGAACTCAGCCGAAGAGAGGGATGTTCGATCTAAAACCAAAGTATGCACATGCACTTGTGTAAGACAGTAACTTCAGGGAGATCTTATGGAAAATTTAAGACAGGAAAATTAATAATATGGACAGAATGTACTGAGTGATGGGGAACCATACAGAATAAATAAGCAAATCATATGACATTAGGCATTCATTAATTTCATAGACACAGTTAATAGTTTCCTAGCATTACCCCACTGGGAACTCCCTGTGGCTTTTCATGGATTTGGAAGAGTGAGGAACCATTCCTACATCCACTTTTGAAATTATTTACTTGACTCGTTCACTTATTTAGCATACTTACCAGTTTTAATACTGTTTCCTCAGAAAAACTCAAGATGGCTAAAAGTTATGAATGTCACTTTTAAAAGACTATATTACATGATGACCCTGTGGGCACACATCAATAGATGCAAAGGTCTAGATATACAGGAGTGGGGGAAAGGTTAGCCTTTTCAGTAAAAGGTGCTTGTCTGCGGGGTACACGTGCAGAGGTAAGCAAACACAAATCTTGATGCTCTACACCATTAAAAAAAAAAAAAATCAATTCCAACCAGATTAATGGCCTAAATGTCACAACAAAACTTTCAGAAGAAAAGATAACCTCAGGCAAGCATTTCCTAAGCGGGAAACCAAGCACGAACCACAGGGCAGGCAGCTGGTAACCAAGACTACGTTAGATAGAATTTCTGCTCACCCAAAGGTCCTGCCTGATAAGGCACCAGAAACGTAACCAAAGACCGTGAAAAGACATGTCACATACACATCAGCAAAAATAAGTACAGAAATACAAACCACAAAGGAAAGGTAGACAACAAAACACTGGGGAAAACAGATACTTTGCCAGAGGATCCAACTGGAAAATACTGACAAGGCAATGGAGCTTCTTAGTGATCAGAAGGACAAAAACACAAGCTGAGCTCACCAGAGCAGAACTAAGCACTGCCACTACCAGTGTGGCAGTAATACCACCCTGAACAGAGTAACTTCTTTGGAAATCAGCTTGAGAGTCCACTAAAGCTGACAGGTATTTTGTCTGATGCAGCTGTCTTGAGATAGCCATTCAGCCGGGATCTGGGAACAGCCTTGCACTAGGGTGTTCCCAACAACCCTATGTACAAATGGCTACTACTGGTTAAAAATTGGTTATACAACCGATGAATACAGGAGAAAATTAGCTACACACACACACACACACACACACACACACACACACACACACACACACAGTCATGTTGAGAGAAAGCAGCTAGGCAGAAGCCTACATGTTACAAGATCTCATTTGAAAATAGGGAAGATTAACGTGCATTAAAAGACAAAGTTTACTTTGGAGAAGGATTTTGACTGGGATGAAGCTCCTGGTGCTGTATCCAGGAACCTGTTTTGAGTTCAGGGTACATGTTGTGTGTGCATCTTTCTGTGTGTATGGCATTCAAAACCCTACTTTAAGATAATGTTCCAGATCTATTACTTGAAGAACTCTCACCTCAAAAAGGGGGGGGGACCCCTTAAGTTATGGTGAGCATAATAGGACAGGAAGTTTACTGTCCTCAGTGTTGCTAGGGTACTGGGTGAACAGGAGTTAAATTCATTGCCCACTTCCTCTTCAACACACCGAGTTTAGAATACCTTTCTTGGTTATGAAGTTAGCTTTTTCCTGAATTTTATGGAACTGGGCTAAGGGAATCTGGCCACAACAGGGGGAAAAGTTAAAGAGAAATCTATGGTTATGTTGCTGTGGTAATTTGAATGCAATCTGCCCTCATAAACTCATAGGGAGTGGCACTATCAGAAGATAGTGCCTTATTGGAGGAAGTGTGTCACTGTAGAGGTGAGCTTTGAGATCTCTTATATGCTCAAGCCATACCCAGTGTCTCAGATCACTTCCCATTGCCTGCAGGACCAACATGTAGTTCCTTCTCCAGCACTATGTCTCCCTGTATACAGGCACTCTTCCCACCATGATGATAATGGGCTAAACCATTGAACTGTAAGCCAGCCTCAATTAAAAGTTTTCTTTTATAAGAGTTGCAGTAATCATGGTATCTCTTCACAGCCACAGAAATCCTAAGACAGCTGCTAAACATTGTGACCAATTCCAGAAGATCAGTTGGAAATGATCTTCAAACCAGGAGGAGATAAGGAGCCCCACAGGGTGCAGATGATTGCGGTTTCCCCTTCTTGCCTGTTAGAAGTGCTGACTCACCAGGTGTGGCCCCCTGGAGAGAACAGAAGAATGACTTATAGTCAATGGAATGAGATGCTGAGGCGGCAAGGATTCACAAGCCATAGGTCTTCTCAGAACCACATTCATTGTTACAGTTGCTTTGCTCCAGGGCAGAAGAGCCCAATGATTAGTTCCTTCTCTTCTCTTCCACTCACCTGTATTTGTTCTAGTCAATCTGAATGCAGTAGATGTTAACAGCCAACTTATACACATAAAGAGAAGAGACCCACCAAGAAGGCCACTCAGCCCTCCCCAAGAGAAGACTTGTCATTTGAAACCTCACCAGAGCTACAAAATAACTTACCTATTGTTTAAAAAGGGATTAAAGAATTACATTTGATCTAAAAGTATTTTAATAAGCTAAGCTCTAATTATGAGAATATTTAGTTACATGAGCTTTAGTATCTATCAGCATTACTGAAACGATATGACTTCAGGTGAGTCTTCAATACTGAGGGTATGCCTATGATTCCCTGAGCACATGGACAGCTTCTCTAAATTTGGTGTGTGGTGGGAAAATTTACCAAGTGAACTCATACTGTGGGTCCTTTGCACTCTGAATTCCACTCAAGAAGGGACTCAGAGATGATGAGCAGGTAAGAGAGTTGACATTTTCATGAGAAGGACTATGAATTGTGAAAAGAGCTTTCTTTCTGGGGCATCTTGCTAGGAGAAAAGGGCAAAAACAACACATCTGTCGATGAGCAGAAGGCAAACTCACACTCTCTTTCCTTGGACGAAAACATCATATACTGCAAAAGCAGCTGAAGGGTTAACCTTTGGAGGCAGCGGCTGAGCAGACAGGTGGTGAATGAACTGACAGTTGGTGGCCTTTCATAGTGACCAGTACTTTGAATGCTGTGAGCATATTTAGTAATTGTAAGTACACCCTGTCAAAAACTCACCGAGGAGTCCTAAACTTCCACTCACCCACAGCAGGAACTGTCAACTTACCGCTTTAGGAATTGTAAAAGCTGATATCCTCCACCTGAGCCAATAAACACAGACACGTTTGAGAATCTCTTTATCAGAACTTTTTTTTTTTTTTAAGTACAAAAATCAAAAGAAAATCCCCAGGGAATATTTTCATTGGCTGATATTGGTACAAAAAGATTAGTGAAAAGCCGATAACACAGAGACCATATACTGTCTGGATGGAAAACCTTTCTGTGACACATTAGACATGTAACATATGAAAATAGCTTGAGATACAAAAATACAGTTGTGATTCAGCAAATGGCACCAAATTAGAACAATTTTATTATTTAACAGAATCCCGATGTATATACATTATCCTCCCAAATAAGAAAAAATTTAATTCCAGAGTTTAAAATGTGGTTTCCTTGGTGGATCTTTATTCTAAATTTTAAAGAGAGAAAGAAAAACAAAAAATAAAACAAGAAGCCCTGAAAACTAATTCTACCTTAATTTTGATCTTTCACTAAAATACACACCCTATACCAACCAATCAATCACCTCTCTCATACAAAAACAAAATGTATATTATAAATAAAACTTTCAAAGGTGGCCTTGGATGTTTTATTGCACATCGAAGAGAAGATGGGCCACTCTGAACGGCTCATGGCCTTTTCTTACGTGCCATTTCGATGGCTGCCGACTCTGGGTGAGAACAAGGGGGGGGGGGCATCCAGGGTCCATCTCATGCTTCTCTGGAACGGCAACAAAGCATCGTGCTGCCCTGGTTCAGTTACTTTCCCTACAGTGAGAGTAACTTCCATTCTCTAACAGAAGGTAATGACAGGGGATCTGAACAAATAAATGTGCACGTCTAAAAGTCAGTTTTCTCTTTTTCAAATAGATTTTAAAAGAAAGAAAGAAAGGAAGAAAGAAAAAAAGAAAGGAAGAAAGAAAGAAAGAAAGAAAGAAAGAAAGAGAGAAAGAAAGAAAGAAAGAAAAGTAGAGGAATTTCACCCAATCATCCATCTCCAATCCTCCCAGGCCCACAGCTTCTCAATGTGTACACTGCTTACATCACACCACAGGGTTCCCACCAACGCTCTCATCATTAGCAGTATCGGTTGTCCTTGATCTCTGCTACCTTCTTAGCTGCTGTTTTGCCAGCAAAAATAAGCCAGAAGGCAACACCTTTAAAAATAAAGTTTTCTAATAAGTTCAGCACAGTGCCCAGCAAAAAGTAGGCATTCAATAAATATCCGATAAATGGATGTAAGCCCCCTCCTACGCTTACATGAACTAATGATTTATGGGAAATATATGGGTTTACGGTACACAAGTCTAAAATGGTAACTGAGGAGAAAACACATACAACATGGAAACAGACACTGTTAATTTCTATAATCCTGTGCAGGACAGACTGTGGACGTTAGGGTTAACTACTCCAATAATTAAAACTGATTAGTCAAATTCTTTTTAGTTTCGCCAAAGGACTCTAACCACTAGCCTTTGGCAACTCCCAAACATACAGCGAGCCCCAAGTAAAACAAAATCAAATTGCACTATTATGAAGAAACAAGTCCATGAGGGCGGAGGGGAGGCGTCACTTAAGGGACAGCAACTTCCAGGAGCCGGTTGTTCTTTCGTTTGCAGGTTGGCACACTCCCGTTTTTCTGGTTGCCTTGGATAAACTTCACACACACTTTGTCTTGTCTGAACTGCACCAGGAACCTAGGAGAAGAGAACCAAACACTCAGGCGCACGCACAAAGCAGATGGTGGTGGGGGTGGGGTGAGGTGTACAGTAACACATGGCAACACCAGCTTTCCCTTTCTGTAACAGACATTGACCTTAGGAGGTACTTATCACCCATTTCCATTGTACATCTGATGAGGAACGCAACAGTGACTTCATTCCACTCCCACCTGTCATCAGCAAGTTCACCATATTCCAGCAAGGTAAGCTGAGCTGACAGTAATTACTTTGTGTTTCAGTGGGGACATCGAGTAGCTGCATATCAACATTCTGTAACTCCACCTTTCCTCATTTTTACAAGGGTACGTTTTAAAGGGGTCAAATTAAACATTCAACAAATCAAACACATGAGATACAGAATTCCCGAAAGCTATTCACACCCACCCTACACTAGTGATCTGCTCACTCCGCATCCTAATCAACAGTTTCAGGACCTCTCCCCATTCACCTGGCGGGACAGCATCCTAAGTGACCCATCTAGCAAACATGCCATTAACACACACAACAGCAACAGCAAGGAGTCAAAGGCTCTGTTGTATACATTAGCCCCAGTTAAAAGGCCATGCTTTACAAACACCATCTCCTGGGGTGAAATGAGATACAGACTTCTAATTCACACACTGTTTTTATTTAATTTGTATGTGTTCATGAGCATGTTTGTTTGAATGCAAGGTATTTGTTGTACAAGTTAGAGTTCAGCTCTGGGTGTAGTTCCTCAGGGGTACGAGCTACCTTGGAAAAAGCTTCCTTACTAGAACCCACAGCTTACCAATTAGGTCCAGCTGGCTGACCAGCGAATCCTAGGATCTGTCTGCCTCCCTAGCACTGGGATTACAAGTAAGAGTCACCTCATCATCCACATAAGTGCTGAGGTCTGAAGTCAGGTGCTTGCCCTGATGGTGTCCAGACTGAGCTAGGTCTCTGGGCCCTTGCTGTTATAAAAGAACAACAACACTTACTTTCAAACCGGTTCTTTCATTTCCTCTCTCAGCACCAGGGATGGAACACTTTAATTCTGTATTCCCCTACTTAGAATATGTCCTTAGTACATATTATTATTCTTTTCTTTTTGAGACAAGGTCTCACTATGCAGCTTGGGATGGCCTGGAACGAACTGTTATCAGGTTGGCCTTGAACTCTCATCAGAGATCTTCCTGCTACAACATGTTTGACCACATAAATAATTGTACTTATACTTATGTGCCTCAAAAAACAAAAACAAAACAAAACAAAAAACCCTTTAAAATCTAACATAAATCCCAACATTTTATAAGTCTTGAATTTTCTCCATGTTCATGGGGCACAACCAAGATTCACAAAGGAAATTGCCACAGCTAAATGTATTTTGCACTGTGAACCACACTGTTCTTGGTCATTTACACAGATTTAGCCTTAAGACAACTGGGGAGCAATTAACCACTATTATCTATTTCTAATTTATAGAAAAGCATTTTCCAGTCAACAGGAATATGGGACATATTATCTCACAGTATTAGTGGCTGCCAAAATTTCAAGGTAAAGGAGCATGGGTTAGTAACAGTGGAGATCCATTTTGAAATATTCACCTTGTACACATTACCTCTAAGTGTGTCTATATACAGCATCGTCTATTACGAGTTTAAGGACCAGGAATTATAAAACAACCAAGTCTTTTAGTGATTTCAACTCTCATGCTCACACCTGTACTAATTAGCTTTCTGAAGACAATTTACCTACAACGACTACGGTTTGTTAGAGCAACTACTTCCACTTCTGAAAAGGTTCTGAAGTGGCATAGCCAAACTGCATGTTGTTTATGACACATGTTCTACACATCTGGCAATGGGCTGGAGTCAACCCATCTAGGGCTGTAAGCATAGGACCTGCCATCTCTGAGTCCGAGGACTAAAAAGTCTACTTAAATCTGAACTGTTCCATGAGGGGATTTCTAAGACCTGCTTGTGAGCACCAGGGTCTATGAAAGAGGTTTCCTGGAAGCCACTGTCCAGACTTCCTGGGGTGTTGAAGAGAAGGAGCCCACACGGGATATGAAAGGTTCCATCCGCTCATCTATTTTTATCTGATAAACCATTAGGAAATACAACAGGAGAAGGGTTATAATGCTACCAAATATTTGTCTTTCATGTGACCGCACTGTAAATCTTTGCTCAGACAACTATTTACTGAATGCCTGTGACATCCAGAATGTCACAGGCCTGTCTGGATGGGCAGGGTAGGATCATTTCTAGGTGGAGACAGCCATTGGAGGGATGCTCCTCTTGACCATGATTGGGAAACAGAAACACAATGTCCCCTCAAAGCCTCCGTGTCTATGGGAAGGAGGCTCAGACAAGTTCCATATTAAGAAAGACTCTCAAGTTCTGTCAGGGGATTCTTATCTTCCCACGTGCACTGCTGCTGATGTTCTGGGAGAGCGGTGGCCAAAAATGGAGACCCCTGAGGCTCTGGACTTAGGGGTTAGCTCTTCTCTCTGTGACTACACTGCTGCTGCATCCAGCTACTTGTGGGGGCCAGGTCTTCATCTGGGACACAAAGGACCTTCTCACGGTGAGTGACAAAGGCCAAAACCTCAGCACCCCAAATCATGACAAACTTAAACCAACGGGAGCACTAAGTTCTAACAGGACCAAACAGGTTAAAACCAGATGACCTGCACTCCTATCTGCCGTTAAGTTTTCCTAATATTCCCTCTTTCATTTCTAGAGACGTCCATGCAGAGTGTTCACAAATGCCCTCCTCCCAGGCACACAGCATCCCAGTGTGAGGACTGGGATCCCAGCACAGCTCAGAGCCCAGAGTACAAAGGAGACACAGAGTGAGATACGGATTTATTCCAGAAAGATGCCAAGGAGGAGATGGAATAGAACAGGCCTTGACATTTAGCCCCAACTAGCTTGGAATTTGCCATGTGGACCAGCTTGGCCTTGAACTTGCAGCTATCAGTCTGCCTTTGCTCCATGAGTATAAGCAGGTAGCTGCCAATACTCTTGGTTTTGAAAAACATCCTTGGGACATTAGTATCCATAATTAAAATGTGCATGCAACAATTTTAAAAAGGAAAACATTCCACATTTACACCAGTCTTAACATGAGTTACAAACTGTGTCAATGTGAAATTCCAGTTACCAATATGCGAAATGAAGGTCATCTCAAGTCTAATGACTCTGAACCGCTCCCTCTACTTGTAAGTCCTTTCCAGCATGGACCATTCCTCACTACCTCCTCTTCAGCCCTTGCCTTGCCCTACACAGCTCAGATTCTTGGCCCCTTTGCTCTATTTTAGCTTCTCACTCAAGGGAACCGCTCACACTGAAACAAAAACCATCCCTGTAAAACAGGGAAGGCCATTCACCTGTGCTCAATCCTCCTCATAGTCTTTATCAATCTTAGAAAGAGCTCCACTCTATGTTTAACCAAGCCTTGTGTAACTGGACTCTACTTTTTCTCTCTAGGATCTTCTCCCACAGTCTCACTCTGTCATAGATTGCTCCTGTCTGGGGACCTCTGCACCTATTCCTGCATTGTGTCTGCATCTGGCTTGCTCCCTTAGTTAGCTCTTCCCTTACAGCCGAGAAGTCTCATTGTCAAAAACAATACCCCCCTTTGCTTTCTCCTTCTACAAGCCCAAATCGTGTCACCTACTGATTAATTTTCCTTTACATTATTTGCCACATCACTTAAAGAGATTGGTTTGGTTGGCTGCAAATACTGGACATACCCTGCTACCTAAAACAGTTGGGTTCAGGGACGAAACTGGAGAAGCAAACCCAACAGTAAAGCAGACAGTGAAAAGAATACAATATGTACAATATGTGAACATACTCATCGGAGATCTCAATGTTGAGCTTCTGATTGGTTTGGCTGAGAGTCGTGCGATAAAGCTTGGTGGCCATTTCAATGAGGTGCTCACTGCTGAAGAGAAAGTCTCCTTTACTAGCTGCTTCTGAGCCCTGCAAAGACAAGCCAACAGTCAGACAGAGGAGGCAAAGTTAGCAGGCGGGAACCTTAACAGTGTCCTCAAACCTCAGGCGCCAGGGCGCATCCTCCCAGATGAGCAGTAAGGGGAAGACTAGTACTTTGATAGCTCAGGTTGGTAGTGGACCAGAGCAGCATTCTGCAGACCCCCTGGGCGGGGAGAAGCCTCAAGATTCCTTTGTGGTGGGTTTGCACAATCAAGTTTGATGGACAACAACAACCCAACTTATAACTCATTCTCAAACCACTGTTCAAAAACCTTTCAGTGAATTGGTTTTGAAAAGTAACACAGGGTCCAGTGAGATGGCTCAGGGGGAAAAAGTGCTGGTCACAAAGCCTGATCGCCAGGGTGTGATCCCTGGGATAGACATGGCAGAAAGAGAAAACCGACTCTCACAAGTTGTCCTGATTCCTACAAACATACACACAATAAATAATCATAAAAACAATTAAAAAGCAGTCAATTAAAAAAAAAAAAAAGCAACACCAAAAACACTTCAAACAAACTCCTGGGGTACCCGAAACCTCAGCTGCACAGGGTATCACTAGGGAACTTAGAATGCTAGGTCCCAAGCTGAGGATTCTGCTGTGATTAGATACACATGTGGCTAGGACAGCAGTAGGTCTCCAAACTTCCAAGCTGTTTTTGTGTGTAGTGGAGGCCGGGAACAGTTGCTGTATGCCTTGATATGCCTCTATTTAGATTTAAATTCATGGTGGGGTAACAGGCTAAGGTAAGCCTTCAGTTCTTTTCTATGTATGACTGGCAGATGCTAACATTTGCTTATTTGGTAATGACGATTATGTGACAATCACTCTGTTAAGTGTTTATGTACAGTGTGCACAAAGCCTGCTACCAATGTTATGTAGTAGATCACTTTAAATCACTTTAAAGTTGAGATTAATGACTTAAAAACAGCATGGCTCCAGTCATCAAAATAAAAAAATCTAGTGCCTACACTTGTTTAACCTCTCTATTCAAGATAGTGGTTCTATTTAGTAAAAAGCATAAAATATCAAAATAAATTGAGGTCAAAGTCAATGGAAAATGTTTTACTATAGTTGTAGCTATTGATAAACCACCAAGTTAAAGGTGAACAAGAACAAAGATGGTATTTTTAAGTTGTCACACAGAAGCATCATAGTATCAAACATCTGGACATTTTGATGCATTACTCTCTGAAGTCATGGGAGCGAGCTAATAAAAGTGTAATTTAATTACTAAAAATGAAGCTTGAGATTTTATATGTGGGTGAACACAGTTAAACTTTACAGGTCAGTAGGAGAGAGGCAGGGCTAGTTAGGTGGGGACATCTAGCCAGTAGAGAGAACACAAGGAGCAGATTTATGTCATGCCTTCAGGTGACACTTACCTCCTTGAGATGGACTGCAAAGAAGCCATCATTCTGCGAACTCATGGAGACCTTGGTCACATCCACCAGGGGGACCTCGGACTTGATCTGCCCGGACTTTTGGTCAGCAAGGAGAAGGTTATTGTTTGTCAAGAGGAAAATCCGGGATGTACTCTGAGACAAGACAAAAAAGTATGTATAGACCGATGACCCAAAACACTCCCAAATGGCCCATACGTGTGAAGCTGTAGTTACTTCTAGAAATATGTATTTTATTTTGCAGTCTCTTAGCAAGTATATTTATGTAAACAGACATGCATACATAATGAATTCTGAAAACTTTTTATGTATGTGTGCATATGAAAGTGTGTGTTCATGCACATGAATGTGTGGCTGTACGTACAAAGGTGCATACGTGTGTAGGCAGAGGATGATACTGGGTGTCATCTACCTTTTCTACCTTATTCCCTTGAAAAAGGGTTCCTCAGTGAACAGGAACCTCTCTGTTTTAGCTAGGCTGACTGGCCAAACTCCCAGGATCTTCATACTCCAGTGTGGTGTTATAAGCAGGCACATCATGCCCAGTTCTTTTATGTGGGAACTTGGGATTTTAATTCTGGTCCTCATGCTTGCAGAGTATTAATGCAGAAGCAGAGAAATGACTCTCAGTGCACATGAGCGTCTTATGTTGGGGGGGGGGCAGCATTTTTACCTTCCCATTAGCACGGTTAATTTTGTTCACAACTTCAGCAATAATGATTTTCTCTTCAATGGCGTCTTTGAGTTTCTTATACTTTGGGTTCTTGTTGATTTCCAGGTAAGCTCCTTGGAACGGTTGCCCAACACTAAAGGGGAATGAAAGATTGTACCTTAGAAATGGTTTCAAACAGATGTGTCACTGTCAGAAAGAGATAGGCCAGGTGATCTTAAAGAATAATCAACATCATGAAAGTGACTTCAATTTACTTTATACTTTGCACAGGCACCTGTTTTAGATTTAAGTTAGAAATGAAGCCTTAAACCTATGCCAAATGTATTTCAACGCAGACATTGGCAGTTGGTTGGTGGGGCCGTGATTCACTTGTAATGATCAGGAGAGAAACTGCCACATACAGCCAAAGTCAAGCATGTGGCCCTGTGTGAAGGAAAGGGCAACAGAAAGCTAATAGCTGCCCACACAGGGCACACCAACACATGTAAACAAGGGAAGCCAATGAGAAAGGACAACCATATTACCATCACCTGCTCCAAAGACAATGTCATGTTCACACAGAGAGTAAGAAAGTCAAAACCCCCATGGGGAAGGATGGACCTAGGTTTGACAATCACATAAAAGACGATACAGTACTTGATTTTCCCATGGAACTCTGGAGGCTCATGGCCACCTCACTAGGATGTGCCTGGAGGTGATGGGCACTTAGGCACACCCAGAGTGCTTTGCTTCTGCCCAGAGGCCACTTAAATGTACTCTCTTTGGAGACCTCGGGTGACTCCCTCAAGGCAGTGATTAAACGGCACCAAGAAAAAGACTGCTGGCCCACGCGATTTACAGCTTCATTTTGAGTTCATTTCTGGAAATAAACGCAGAAGGCTTGAAATGCTTGTGCTGTGGGCAGAGACTCAGGGAAGAAAAATCTACGTAGGTGGCCGGCCCTTTGCAGCTCCCAGGATATGAGCCGCTAACACTCATAGGCATTGCTGCTTCACGGCTCGGGGAGGCAAATTCTTTCACATCTCCCACAGGCGAAGAGAGTGCCATTCTCTCCAAAAACTGACACAGCTCCCCAGAAGGGACTTGACTCGCAGTTATTAACTTTCTTTGTGTTCATAGTTAATTGTGTTTTTAAATAATAAAAAGTGCTAAGAGACTAATTTTAGTTTGTTTCCTTAGTGATGCATTCTACTAATTGGCCCCTCCCCCAATTTTAGAGTCTTCTATGGGAACTGTTTAAGAAGGCTGCCGTCTAACTTAAGGATTAAAAAGAAAAGGATGAATAAAAACAACTACTGAAGAAAGCACACCACTTTCCTTTTGGCCTAATATTCACAGAGTAGGAACATTAGATAACTTTAGATTTGGTCATGTGTTTGATTTAGGAAGTACAGGTTATCTTAAACATCCAAGGAAGCAGCTAATGGAGGAAACACTCACTGCAATTTGCAATAGTAAAAACCCAATGGGCCTGGCAACTATGCTAATTTAACCCTTTTAAAGGTATAGTTTTCAAACGTATATATAGATAGAAATAATAATACAGGACCAAGATCTTTATTTCTAGACCTTTAGGAAAAGCTACAAGCCAGTGGAGATTCTGGTTTGAAATTACATAAACTACTTGTTTATATAAAGACCAGATGAAACAGAAACAGGAATGTGTGTGTGGGGGGAGTTGATAAATGTCCAGTTCACAGGATGCTCAAGTCCTTTGTCAAGGGTTGGACTTGTTGAATTTGCAATGCGTTTATTTTTTTCCTGAGGACAGTGTCCACAACAAATGAACTGGACTTTTGTACAGGTCACTGAGGTTGTGACTAACCATTTAGCAGCCAAAAGAAACTATAGGTTCATGCTTAAGTTACAAGAAAGAGTAATGACCGGGCACTGGCCTGATAAATGAGTTTCTGACCTGACTTCATATTGGCAGAAAGATCCCAACAGTGATTACGATTCAATGCAAAAAGAGCCTTGAAAACCAGGTTGTACAATGACAATTTATCCCAAGAGTCCATATAACTTTCATTTTTAAAAAAAATGATCTCCTGTTTACCAAATGATTTAACCTAAGGCCGATAGAACAAAACCAACAGTTGTAATCCTTATGTGACCCATGGAAGCTGCTCCCTACTGTTAGGTGTATCTATACCCAATGGCTTCTGAAGTAATTCATATTAATTTGGTACCATAGAAAAGATGCAGAGACATGCCTGAGAAAAAAATTAGTAAAACCCTGGCATTTCCGAGTAAGCACAAACATACATACCTAGAAGGATATAAAGCTTTCTTGTCTTTGAAGAGTTCGCTGGCCTCTAGCTTCTCCTCATAAACAAGTTTCTGCTGGTCTGTGAATTGGTCCCTGTACTTTTTACACTGTGAGATAGGAGAAGAACATACACAAAGAACCACTTAGACAAATATATTCTCAGGTTTTGTTTTTGCGACAGGAAAAGGTCTCTCTGCAGAGCCCTGGATGTCCTCTAAAACTCACCACAGCTGACCTTGAACTCACAAAGATGCCTACCCCTGCCTCTCAAGTGCTAAGATTAAAGGCATGGTGGCCAATTTCTTGTTCCTAAGCATGCTACACTAAGAGTAACAGTGGCAATGCACACAACACAACATTCATTTAAAGAGTTAAACCCACTTTGGTTTCCAAAAGTTGATCTTAAGAATATGTTATGAACCATTTGTGTTACAGATTTCAAAATGCTTCTTCAAATATAACAGGGCCTAATCGGCCTATACCAGGAAGTCTAGATTTACTTTGCTACAATGTAAATCCCCAAGGATCTCCAGGCCCTAGACTGTCATTCCTGAATATACACTCACAAGAAATTAACACTGTATGGCAATCCCATGCAGAATTACACACACACCTCTCTAACCCAAAAGTGTTTACTCTTACTTTTTAATTACCGTTTTTCATTTTAAAATGCTGGACATGTCTAGAGACACTAAAACCCCAGCACTTGGAAGGCTGAGACACAATCAATATGAATTCAAGGCCTGCCTGGGCCATACACCACATCTGAGTTGGTCTGAGAACCAAACAGCACAGACATATGATGGCAGTCATTTACTAAAAAGATTTCATGATCCACAAGCATGTTATGGGTAGCCTGAAAAACAATGCTTAAGTGTCCCTCATTACCACAGTATACCATGCAAGGGGGCCTGGGGAACCCCTTAGCTCTGTCTCTGTGGATAAAATGAGGGTGCAGGACTGGCCAGAGGAGCATATTTTTCAAAAAATTGGTCTAAATGTGGGCTAGGGCCTCTGCTGAAGTGACTCTAGGAAAAAGGAGAACATCCAGGTTGCTCCTCTCCATGACAAGGCTTCCTTCAGGAGCAGACAGGCTTCTCCCCAGCTTCCGCCCAGAGGAGGAAAAGGCGAGCAAAGAGTGGAGGAGAGCCCGACATAGAATACTCCTGCTCTTAGGTCTGAAAATGTTTTTCACGTCAGACTCAAAGGAGGAGACAAGGAACTGAGAGACTGTTAAATCTGTTAAGAACAGAACTTGGAATCCATGAATCATACTAATTAGCAATAATGTCACTCTTAATATGTGACCAAGGAGAGAACTGCCTGGAATATATAGCGACTAGTCATATCCACAAGCCTTTCTAAAAATAATTTATAACATCTAACAACCACATACATTCAATCTTCCATACAACAACCAAGTGATTCAAAGAAAAGCCTTGCCATGAGAAGAGGCAACACCAACACTCACCCTTCCTCAGGAGGTTTGGTCAACAGTGGTGTCTGATCCCATGTGGGCCTGAGTTCCCTGGCCACTCAGGTCCACATGCCCCAAAGCTTACACAGATGCTCTGTTCACATATATCAGCATAAAACAGACTTTCAGCTTCCCTTTATTTAGGACAGAGGGAATTCTGACCTTGAGGGACTGCCATGCTCACTTTCTAGCCTGAAGTATGTATGTGAAGTGTGCATGTTCAAATGTGTATCGGTATATGTGTTTAATAAATCTGGTAAAGTAAATGCACACTCATTGGTAGAATTTAACTTCCCTGTCTAGGGATCTTTATAATTAATGACTTCTATCTCCTGCCCAGTTCCTTCATAGAAAATAAAAGTCCAACTACGTGAAGCTAAATGGGAAAAATAAGTGCAGTACAATATCCACCTTCTAGCTACATCAAGAGCAGTCGGCACAGGCACTATGCCGCAGAAAGCCAAGTACAGGAGGAGGCTTGCCATATCAAAGTCTTCAGGCAAACCTCATCAAGGTGACAGCCGGGTTAAGAGGGGATTTTACATAGCAGCCTCCATACACTCAAAACAAGAAACACTCTAAAAAAGAAAACATTGCATATTTTACCCTCCACAAGTGGAAGATCCTTTTCAGCTCCTTGTGAGTCGAGTCCAAGAACAGGTAAGGTCTTGATGGCCAATTTTTGTCTATTGGTGACAAGGAAGGCATTTTATTTTTCATTTCCAAGAAGTATTTTTGCACCTGTGTGACAGAAAATACTAGATGAGGAAAATACACCAGAAAGACAGTGTGATGCACACTCCTCAATCAATAAGACTAGCCAAGATCAAGAGAACTGATCCATTTGAGTCCATAAGATTGTGCATCTTCTTTGTTAATTCTACTTAACTCTTTCATTCTTACTGGGGTATGTGAGTTGCTCCAAACAGTTATCAGGAAAGATGACTACAGACATAGTTACTCCCACGAGCACTGGCCAACACTGACACCATAGCACAAGTGTTCAGCTCAACAGGGAGTCACTCACGGTAGGTAGCTACTTAGACTTACATTGTAGGGAACTACAGTTAAATAAATGACTAGTTCCTCAGTCACACTGGTGCTTTCCGTGTGTGTGTGTGTGTGTGTGTGTGTGTGTGTGTGTGTGTGTGTGTGTATACATATATACATACATATAAAACTACACGTTGACAGTGGCTATCCACTAAAGTTATAGAACACATCCATCATTGTAGAAAGTTCTGGGCAAGCTATACCACAAAACAAAAACAGTCCCTACTTGGGATGGTTTAACTCATGAATTTCTGACTTTTCAACAGTGCAAGAGCAATGCATACTCAGTAGAAACCATAGCTCACACGCTGATGTCTGAATAGGCCAGTGGGAGTAATGCAAGGCTCTCCTAAGAGCTGGGCAGTGAGTCCTGGGCTCAGCTAGTCATGCAGTCAGGACTGACAACTGACAGATTTCCTACATGGGCCATGCTGCTAAGCTGTGACACTCGGTAGGTTAGGTATGATAAATGAACACTTGGCATAAGATATTCTCAGCTTATGATGTGGTTTACTGGGACACAACTCCATCACGTGTCAAAGGATCATTCCACTTAATTAACATGGGCCAGGCACTGGAAAAATCTTATCATTTACTCAAAAGTAAAAACCACACAAGACCAAATGAGAACCACAGGGGTTACTTACTCATGTTGTAATTACACAGAAGTTCTGGCTGATACCAACACTTACAGCTTCACCACAACACACCCTCGAGCACGGCAGCTGCAGAATCCAGCCTCACCCACCTCTGCTCCCAGACACCTTGCTTCAACCAACCTATTTACAGAGCTTGCCCTCCAGAGCCCATGGCACTTCAACAAGCTTGACTCTCTTCATTTTACCTTCCTAGTTTTCTATGCCAAGTAAAATAAGTATTTTATCAATTACATCAATCACAGGCCCCTAACAGTACTGACACAATTGTATTTGAACTTGTAGAAGTCACAAAAGGTTACCAAACGACCTTTTATAGCTATGATTTATATGGGGTTTTAATATTTTATTGAGTTGGTGCTATTAAGTGGTTAATCTCATAATGCTGATTAGTCATACAGTGTCAACTTACAATTCTTTGAAGTGTAAACTCATAGATTTTCTTTCCAGCATTCGCTCTGAAGAACTTCCTGTATTCCCGGCGTACCTTTCAAAGGAAGCAGATGGACGGTTAGAACAAGGCTGGCAGAGACACTCATGACATACATACCTCTTTACAAAGCAAAGTACATAGAACACACATATTTTAGATTGAGAGGACTGACAGATGCATACTCAGGCAGTGGCAATTACATCAGAGAAGAAGAAACTCTGTGGATGATACTTTAAATCCTATTGGTTTTTATATAGGCTGCTGATTTGGCATGGAACCCTCTATAGAAATAGCTGTAAACTTGTCGCAAATCAGAGCACAATTCATGAAATATTTTATGAGGCAATTTCTCCTTCAGATTTTTTTTTTTAAGAGACTATCTGAAGGACTAGATCAAATCTTCCAAAAATCCTGCATAAAAACACAGGACTTTACCAGATTAAAAGCAGCTAAAAACAAGAATCTTGGAAGAGCTCTCAGGTCATCATTGTCTTCCATTGAACCATACCAAAAGTTACACTTATTATCACAGCATTGAAGACAACATGCCACTTTAAACACAAACTTTGCCCATAGTACCACATACTAATCTATTTCATATATTACTGTCTAATAACTAAGTGTGGTGTTTACAGATTTAATGAGTGTTACAGTTAAATATGATGTTGAGAGGGCCATATAAAGTATTTATTATCATCTACTTATGAAGAGAAGTTAGAAATTAGCAAAACATCAGCCCCTCTGTGTATCTTGGTGCTATGTATCTTTTTCTCTTGCTTTCCACTTTTCTGGGCTTAAATAGATATGCTTACAATATCTGTACAATTGGGTGTTGTGGAATAGAAACCTATGAGACCAACTCAATCTGTGGATACCATATCCTTATGTTTCTACATAACAGTTTAGACTGCAGATTTCTCTTAACATTTTCTAAGCTGCAGTAACAGTGATCCCCATTTCTACGGGACAGGTGAACCCCACTAGCCTTCGCTGAGATCTGCAGGTTTTGAGCTATACACATCCAATTGTTCCCAACAAGCCCACTGCCTACCTTATTTATGCCTCCTGCCTGCCCTACAAGCATCTATACATAACAGCTAAGCATCCCCTGAGGGCAGACCATTCTATACAGCAGCTAAGTGTAAGGGCAGGCAGTTCTACACAACAGCTAAGTGTCTGAGGGCAGGCCATTCTACACAACAACCACGTGTCTGAAGGCAGGCTGTTCTATACAACAGCTAAGTGTAAGGGCAGGCCATTCTATATAACAGAGATCTAACTACATATCATAAACTACATATAGGCAGTCCTTCTTTTTATCCTTATTCTAGCCTTCATTTCTCTTTTATTTAAGAGATTGCTAGATTCGTAAGCATTTCAGACCTCCAGCTTCCAAGGGTCAAGGGGCATAGAGAAGAAAGCAGACAAGCTGAAGGGAGGTCTGCGCTATGGCAGCACATCCTTAGGCAATGCAGAAGTCCTATGCTATGCAGATGAATCTCACTGTATTGCAGCTGTCAGCATGACTTCTGACATTCCACAGGATAATGGCTGCTCCTCAAATAAAGCTACATACAGTAAAAACTTGGTGATATCACACTCTTCTCACAATGGGGAGCTTCTTGAACACCAGGAATTGTAAAAGGGTTCAGTGTATTTCATACTTAGTTATGCAAACAAATTAAACCATTTCAAAGGACAAAAGCATTGCTCACATCAACATAACTTGTTTTTATGATAAAAGTGACAAGATTATTACAATCTTAAACTTCAAAAGTTTAATCTTATTTTATAAGAGTAACAATGAGAACAGGATAAGATACTTCTGCCTCATAAGGAAGTTGAGGGGGATGAGCTGCAGTTAGAGCAGGCCCAGTGCATTCTGCAGAAATAGCATTCATCTGTAGGCTGAGTGTGCTCGGTTGGCTGCTATTGCACACCTCTACTGCAAAAATAGTGTGAAAGAATATGCAATGAAACCCAGTATGGGGAGTAAAAGGCTGGATTCAATCCTGCCTGCTTCCTTCCTCTTACAAACATTACGATGCAAATTCAAAAACACAAAACACACAAAACAGGAAATGCTTAGTTTTGTTTGGCTTCCAAACAGCATGCAAAGGACTTATTCAGAACTTGTCAAATAGAACATCTGTTAGACTCATATTGAAGTTGCTTCTTAATTACCTTGTGAAGACTCAGAATAATCAAAAAGGATAATTAACTAGACGTTTGTAGGAGGAACGTTCCGGGGAAATAGAGATTGTTCAAAGCAATATTCAGGGATATTTCTGAAGGCTGTTGAGCTGCAGAATCAATGACTGCTCAGCTAATTTCAAATACTTAATAAGAGTAAATGTTACTGGACTAATGTAGAATGCTGAAGAGAAATAGTGTGGAAAGGACTGTGATCGCCTTTGAAAAGCTACCTGGATGTCTCACTATGCTGGCTAATTACTAAACAGGGAGACCAAATCTTCATATTGCCTGTCATGCTCAGAGTCAAATTTTCCTATGTACTTGTGTGTGCTTTCCCCTCCTGGACCAAGCTCATAAAAAGCTGGGCAGTGGTGGCAATGGCCTTTAGTCTCAGCACTAGAAAGAAGAGGCTGGGGGATCTTTGTGACTTTGAGGCCAGCCTGGTTTACAGAGTGAGTTCCAGAAAACCTGCCTTGAAAAGCAAAACAAACAAATAAATATAACAAAATAAAACTCAGAAAACAACATGTCTTCATGTCTTGGACAAAATACACTGCATTACATTCATTATTTAAAGAAATTTAAATCACATTAAAATGAGAAAGTTAGTGTGTAGTTGTTTTCATCTTTTTTCCCTTCAGAAGAAACAAAATTAGGCAAGCTGACACTTCCTAAGTCTGTGCAGACAGCAGCAAGCGCCGCCAGTTTTCTCGGGTTAGTAGGTGCGAGGCTTTATAGAAGTCACCCAGGGCAGGAGGAAGATATGATGGAAGTACCTTCAGTCCAAGCCAGTAAGCCCAAATGACAGCAACTGCATGCTTACGCCTAGCCTCCTCCTTCAAGCGTTTCAATTCCCTTCGAGCCTAGAATGTTTTAGATAGTAAATAAGAGACAGCCCAATGCAGACAGCACAAATGACCAGAAAAAGGTACCCCCCACCAAACAAGAGAGCCAATATTTGAGCAAGACTGCAGAGCGGCAGAGGAACAGTGCACACTCTTCAACCCCAGGGTCTATGTGGAGCTGGCACGGAGGCCTGTAGTCCAGTGCACTGAGAATCAATCACTTCTGGGTAGGGGCGGTGATGCGGCACCCAAGAGGGCTGCCTCCTCACTGCCATTCCTCTCCTTTCTCCTCTGTCCCACTGCTTTCCCCACATTTGCTCAACTCCCTTACAGAACCATCTCACTATACAGTCCTTTGCTGTGACCCTCTCAAGAGCCTTTGTTTGCATGAATTAAAAAGACAACTTGGGTGAACAAACATTTGGAAAAATTGCAAAACATGAAGGCTGTGTATGCGAGTGCAGGCAAAACTACCAAAACACAGAAGTCCCCCCCCCCCCCCAGTTCAAGTTAGAAGCAGCATGTGTAAATGAACTGCATCGGGGGCAAACTAACATCCAGAAGACCCTGGAGTCAGTCTGCCACATTGCCAACAGACACATTTTGGCTAAGCTCCCAAAGAGTGATATATACTAAAAACTGAAGTGAGGCAAAATATGGCACAAATGGCAGGTTGAAAAGATGATACTGGGGAAAATCAATCTTGGGCATACAGCTTCCCAAGACAAGCGGCAGGCATTGACTCCTGAGACACTCCAGCACCGAGACCAGGGAAAAAAGCTCACTGGAGAAATCCCTACCACAGCAGCGTGTCTGCTGGGCCGTGTCCCTTAACTGGCAAAGGAACTAGGTTGGTTTTTATGGACTTTTAGAAAAAACACAAATGAACAACTTTGGTCAGGTTTGTGTAGCTTACAACACTAACAGGGTAGACTTTAACAAAAACACAGGGCTTGTGGAGTTTTGTCTCCGACTGGAATACATATTTTAAACAAAGATGACCTTTGATTTCTAAGTAAGAAAAACATCTAAAAACTCTTGTTCCTTGTGGGGGGGTCTATGAAATGTTCCCAGAGCCTAGGACTCTGCCTGGGATTAGAGAGTTCCAGGAGGCTTTTGTCCCTGAAAACAAACAGCCATGCTGAAATTCCAGGGATTCTTCTCTGGCAAGTATGGCTAGCTTCCCATGAACACAGTTTTCTGTGAAATCACAGTTGATCCTTCCCTGAAAATGCAACATTGTTGGCTTACAATAACCAACACGGGTTACATTCAGCCTGAAATGCAAGTTCATTCAAAGATTACATCTAAAAAACATGCGTTACTGGCATTACTTGGTTAGCACACTGTAGAAAATGATTCAAATCCCAATCTTAACATTCTCCACATGCCCCCCGCATACAAGTACCCCTAAAAATCGGCCAGCATTCAACAGTGGGAGAGAGTGGGCACTAAACATGCAAGTTAATTAAGAGGATTTTTATGGAAGAACTATGCTAGAGCCTTATTAGTAAGGTTAGCGTTTTGGTCTGTACATGTCAAAGCTTCCTTAGCACACTACTGTCTAGCATCACCAGTTTTATTGATTTGGCTGCTAGAGCATGCACTGAGGTGAGTCACTTCCAACTGCATCCTTCATCCCTGCTATGCTAAGAGACCAGGATTGGTTACTGCAGAGTTCCCGGACGCAGTAATGGGATATGTGTGTGCATCAAGTACCTTCGATCCAAGCCAGTAAGCCCAAATAACTGCAATAGCATGTTTATTCCTAGCCTCCTCCTTCAGTCGTCTCAGCTCCCTTCGCGCCTGTGGTGCGTTTGAAAAGGAGTTACAGAAAGGGTTAAGGCAGGAAAGGCTGCTGCTGCTTCCCAATGGAGATAGAAAAGGAGACACCAATCACCAATAGTAAATGCAAAAGCATGTGCCACCACCCACACCAAAATGCTGCCAAGAGTAAGAGGCGAACGCGTGCTCGGTAGCTCAAGCCAGTGAGTCATTTTCTGCCCCGAGTCTGAGGGTCCTCGGCTCCACAGACACTCCCAACCCTACCTCCCTCCTCAGGGCCTCTGACCTACCTGCGTTCCATGCCAGTATGCTGCAATGGTGGTGGCTGCCTCCTTACAGCGTTTCTGATGCTTCAGCTCCCGCAGGAGTTTTCGAGCCTAGAGAAATCATTCCCACAGGCATATTTATTTATTTCTTTAAAATGACCTTGAGAGTGACTAGAAAGTCATTTTCAAAGAAGTGAGAGTCCAAATACACATGGCCTAGTGACAACCAGATGGGAACAGGGGTAAGAGACCGGAGACACTGACATGGCAGGGTGTTCTCACCATGAGAAGCCAGCCTCCTGCCCTGGTACAGGACAGGAAAAGAATGGCCACAGCAACACAGGCTGTATACACAGAAGTAGAGACCCAGTCTTAGATCATGGCCAGAGTTCTCCAATGTTCCTCCAAAGTCCATTCCATCTCTCTATTCACTCTGTTGGGAAGTAACTGTGGCTATCCTTTCAAATCAAGAGATTTTTATCCAAACCAGTGACTTCTTTCCAGTAATTGCTCAAGCCGGGAGGGCTCTGGCTTGGGAGAAAGCTTCCAGTCCTGCCATTGGGGGTCTCTAGACCATAGACAGGTCCCAGGGCCTAGAACCCTGGTCAGGGAGAGCTGACATGTAGCAGGCCACATTAACTTGGACAAGCCTTTAATCTGAACAAGGTCTACACCAAGGCCTACCAATCAAAGCAGCTAGATTTATAGTCCAGGCTGTCTGTATCTTCAGGAGAAGCCATTGGCCTGAACACAACCTCAAAGTGTCCCTTCTAGATCCAGAACATTCCATGACACGACACATCTAATAATCTAATAGGGAAGTGGTCCGCAGATGTAGAGTAGCACTGGAGAGCCGGGGTTAGTAAACTTTTTTCTGTAAAGAGTAAGATGGTCAGGCTTTGAAATAGCATCAAAAGGAGAAGATAACGTGTGTGTGTATGTGTGTGTGTGTGTGTGTGTGTGTGTGTGTGTGTGTTGGGGGTGGGGTGGATCATCAAGAAATTAGGGAGGTAAATATCATCAAAATACACTGTCTGAAATTCTTAAAGAATTAACAAAAATATTTTTTTTTTAAAAGAGTAAGATGGTTAATATTGTGGTGTTGAAGGCCATACAACGCTCCACAGCTACCAGACTATGTATCTTTCATGGACCTAGAGTCTAAAATAGGTGAACATGGCTACATCTTCAAGTATGGATATTCAAATCCACATTTCAGGTAATCTTCACATGCCTGGAACTCTCTTCTGCTTTTTGTTTACAATGGTTCAAAATATACAGACCAATTTTGGCTTGCAGATTGTACGAACCAGAACAGAGGCTGAAGTTTGCCTGGGGCTCAAAATTCACTGACCCTTGAACCGAGCCTTAGCTGGAAGTATGTGGACCCAGAGCAGCCACTGTGACTTCCAACTTTCCCTGCCACAGTCCTAGACAGGCCAGGGGCCTTTAGTCATTGTGCAAGTGGCTGTAGAGGATCACTGGAAAGTCATGGGTGTGGGGCTGAGACCCACAGACTCGAGCATGGCTGTCTGGCAGCTTTCTAGACATGGCTTCACTCTAGAGCACAGGGTCCAAGGATGCCACAATTATACTCTGTATTATTTCAGGGACTTCCTACTCAGAGAACAAAGCTTTAAAAGAAAACATAAAGCGATTAGAAGGAAGCTGACAAGACATGGTCACCAGGGTTCCCTGTTTGGCCCCATAATATTTACTTTTTCCATGTTGCTGTTTAAGCACAGGTGCAGGAGCTGAAGAAGCCTCCCTGCAGAGCAAGCCTGAAGACAGCTCCCTTTGTGAAGAACCCCAGCTCCCACATATGTAAAGCATGCATTTAAACTCACCTTCCAGCCCCGGATGTAAGACTGAACCACCAGCGCCGAGCTCTTTATCTGCTGGTACCGCTTCTGTTGCTGCAGGATAAAAGAGAAGATGTGACAGTCACGTCTGTGTAGATGAAAGGTAGATAGACCTTGACGGCCAAAGAAAGGGTGTCTGTTCACTAGGAGCAGTGGATGCCTGGTCATCCACACTCCTGGAAACCAGCATATAGAGAAATGGAAAGGTTAGACAGTACAAAGTCATTACAGCAAGCCTGCGGCCACTGGAAGAATGCCAAGCACTGTAACTTATAACTGGTGCAGTGGCTGTTACCAACGCCTATTCTCTGCTCTGTGCTGTGCAGCATTGCATCCACACTACCCACTGTCAACATTGCATTCTGAGTGGACTCATACTGCTTTGCATCTACTTTTCCAGAGGATTCTCTTCTTGGTATCAATCTTCATCATGCAACGTAGCGGGCCAGCCTGCCTCTAACCTTCTGGTTACTTCTAGCTTTGCTATTCTTACCCCAGTTGGAAAGTCGGGGTAATTTCAGTAAGCCTGGTATCAACTGAAATGAAGTGTAAATAGAACCCTAAGAATGTGTGAGTCTGTCTCCATCCTCATCCATGAGGGTAGACTATGACAAAGGTCAACACTGTGAAAGGGCACAACTACACTTTAGCTCAACAAGTGCTCTGTCCAGAGGCCTTGCTGTAGAGTTGATTCCTTAAGACAATGAAGCTGCCAGAACACTCAAGAAAAGCAAGCCTTTACAGTTTTGGGTTTGAAATGAATGTTGGGACATGGACATCTCTGATGAAAATGCAAAGCATTTCAAAAACAGCAAAGTAGGGTTGTTAACCTTTCCTTGTGAAGCACGAGACTGCTGACCCCTGTTCTCTGGTGACATCTGAGAGCCCGGACTCCATCTGGATATTGGAGATAATGGAGGGAGATGGGCAGTCTAGCCCTCCAAAAAGCTGAGTAAGCCATGGAGAGCAGCACCCCTCCATGGCTTCTAGGTTCCTGCTTTGCTTTAGTTGCTGTCTTGACTCCCTTCAATGATGAACATGGAATATGGGAGTGGAATGATAATTAAACCCTTTCCTCTCCAAGGTGCTTTGGTCATGGTATTTCATCACAGCAATACTAACCCTAAACTACATAGATACCCTTGCTAAAATGCACTTTATCAAGTCAGGAACCAGGCTGCCTGGTCCACTTTGTGACTCTCGGAGCATAGTAAGGTATTTTACAGCTTTTTGTAGAATTCAAAACAGATTGATTAAGGATCTGATCAAGGGTGTATTTTCTTAATGACCTCAAAATAAGAAATGATAAAAAGCATATCTGAACTGTAGGCTGTTTGTTGGTTTCCCCCCTTTCTCAGGCAAACAGAAAAGAGTGTCATGAGTTTTCAGAGTTAAGAAGCGTTGCTGTGTGCTTGCAGGAGAATCCATAATGACTAGGTAGAATGACAACAGTCCACAATCCTGCATTCAAATGTGGTCATTCCAAGACTTGTATTGTAGCTATAATCTCCCTGATTAGAAGAAGCAATTAAAGACTGCACTTAAAGACCAAGTGCATCTTAAGCTTTATCATTTAAAAAATTACTGTTTCCCAAAATTTGTGAAAATGCTAAAATACATTTCATGAAAGTCCGTCAACACAGATTTTGTCAGATGATGGCAAAATGTCTCATTAGATGCAGAGGGAAGATTGCACTAAATGAGACCTGACTGCAAATTCAATCCACTTTTTAACTTTGCAGAGAAGAAGCATAGAACAAAAATATTCACAAGTTGTGCCCGTCTTATCACTACAATTCATTTCAAGAACATGACTTAAATTTAGGTGAAGGTAGAGGCAAGTCTTCAGGCCCTTCCAAACCTGTTGCCATGCCTCCAACAAAACATTTAACCAAGTGCTAAATTTCTAAAAAGAAGTTCCATATGAGCTAAGCAAACATTCTTTATTATAGACTCCTTATATCTGAGGACTAAAGAAGATCCAGTTCTTTAATCAAAACCATAGTTGTACTAAAACAGAGTTTTAGTGCTCTGGGATTAAAACCATCTCTCTAAAATATATGCAGCTAGCTAGACATTTTAGAAAACTGAGCCCATCACAGGAAAAGCAAATGACACAATCTTCTCAAAGCAATGACAAAATCAAAAATAGATTTCCTGCTACATCCTTCCCCCAAATCAGTGCAAAACAGTCCTGAACATCAAACCTAAGCTCTGGAACTGTCTTAGGCTCAGATCCATGCTCTGGCATAGACAACCATGGGCAGGTTCCCTGAAGCTCAGTGCCTTGGTTTCCCAGGCTAAAAAGAAGAGCAACAATATGCATCTCACGAGGTTGTTGGGAAATTTTAACTATGTAATAAGTTGCAAAAATAGTAAGCACAGAGAGAATGTTGAGAAGTTGTCATGGTTACATCAGGTCATTAGGTTGTAATGAGAAGTTAGCATCATTGGTGGCATGGTTATGTCACATTTTAATGAATAGTTGCCATGTTTAAGTCAGGCTGGAGTAAGAGGTTGGCATGGTTATGTCAGGTTGTGGTGAGAAGTTAGCTGGTTAGATCAGACTGTAGTTCCAGAACTCACCGCATATCTCCTGCACCAGGCAGCTATCACAACTTGGCTTTTTTTCATGAGCAGGAAATGTGTACGACATTTCCATCCCCGGTAAATCTTCTGAATGAGAGTGGCCAGGTCCTCTAGCCGCTGCTTCCTTAGGTCTTCCAATTGGAATAACTAATAAGAAATGATAGACGGACATGAAAGGACTTTGCCGGATGTTGAGGTCAGCTACTTGAATGATGGTGCATGAAGAAAGTATTTTGAAGGACCCAGTTACTCCAAGAAGGTTGGAATAAGCCAGGGGGGACCTGCATCTCACTCTGCAGGACACAAGCAGCTCAGGGTGAAGCCCCGTGCACCAACATGATGTTCAGGAATCCAGAGGCTGGAGTTCAGCCGGGAATGCACAACTCCTAACTCAGGGGCTGGTGGCCTCTTCCACAACCTAAGAGCCCTCAAGCTCTCTAAACTTCCATATTACTAAGACATGTAATAATAATTATACTTTTCATCCATCTGTTTGTTTGTACAAAGACTCCAAGAACTCTAAGGAGGCCTATGTATTTGGTCAATTTTGAAAAAATGTTTCCCTTCATGTTTCATGTGCACCCATCAGGCTGTAATTTCTAACACTCACATGTGACTTAGATGCTACAGACATAGATGGTTTGCCTTCCAGTTGCTATGAATAAGGGAGGGAGGCTTAGCCAAGGTTTGATAGTTTTACATTCATTTCTTATGTTTTGTACAACCTATCATATGGCTTTGGTGTTGTATAAATAATATACCATCCCTTACTTGCCCCAGCTCTAGGATACTGCAGACAAACAAACGAATATGGCCTTGATGGTGGTACCACAGGATGAGCCTGCATGCATGGGACTGGAGTTCAAAGTGTAAAGGTTACATACTGTTCTTGGGTTTCGGATGAATATCTTGGATCTACCAAAGGAGTACTCTTCCATTGGGATCTCTAGCTCATTAAACAGAATCTCCACACCAGACCTAAAAGAGTGAACAAAACTCCAAACAATGTTTTTCCTGAATTACAAAAGTAGTTCTACCCCACATCATATCAGGTTTTCATTAATACACAAAAAAGCTACATTAAATTTACATTGTGTGTGTGTGTTTGTGTGTATATATACAACTGGCAGGAAGTGATTGTCTACTTTTCCCATGTGGGCCCAAGAGATCAAGCTCAGGTGGGTCAGGCCACACAGCAAGCACCTTTCCGTACTGAGCCAGCTCTCTAGGCCCAACATTACTACATTTTTAGGGCAATCACTCTTCCAGCAAGCATATTTCTACCAAAGGATTTTCAAGATTGATTTGCACAAACCCAGATTAATACACACCACTAAAGCAAATCTAGGTTTAGAACCATGTGCTCTAAGAAATGTAGGAACTTCTTGATTTCATTAGTAATATATAAAAAAAAGTCACTATCAATGGGGCCAAGAATGAAAGCAGAACCTCAGACCTATTGAACCTACTCAATAAGCCCTGTGTACAGGTGTTCTGCCTGCACATACCCATGTGCTTGGTGCCTGAGGAGGCCAGAAGAGGGTGCAGAGTCCCCTGGAATGTGAACCTTAGATACCTCAGATATTGCAACCTGCCAGTTACATGCTGAGAACCAAATCCAAGATCTCTGCAACAGCAGCAAGCACTCTTAAACCACTGAACCATCTTTCCAGCCCTTCTGGAAATACTAATCACTGTTTTCATTCCACAGGGGTGAGCACAGCCCAAAACAGACCTAAGGGTCAGGCCAATGAGATGCTACAGAACATGGCCTAATGTGGACAGAACAAGGCCATGACCTTAGTTTCAACATCAGTTCCTAAAACTAGCCTGGCCCCACCAACCTGTGGACTGCCTGCCAGACAGGGAATAAATAATGTTCTGTGTTATGGCATGCTTAGCACAATATCCTAGAAATTAATAGTGTGTAGAAACAATAACCTGTCTAATGCTCTGTATGAGACACCAGAGACTACAACATATGTGATTTCTGTCTCCTCTATAACTCAGGATGCTTGTCTAATTACTACTCAATTTCCTGTAAAAGGCTGGTTCAAATGAGAATGTGCACACAACTTTGGCACAAGTGCCTGTCTCACACATGAGCAGGCTTGCTGGCCCTCCTGCAGTATTCAGACTGCTATAGTCTCCATGGCAATCCTGATTGGTGAGAGTAAAGGTTCTCACAGGCCAGGCCTGATTTCTCTCCTGTAACAGCTGCTCTCCAGCACACAAGTTCATGCATCAACTACCAAGTGTCTATGAACTCACCACGTGTATATTTGAAACATTTATAGGCGTGCAAGTTCCAAATGTGGATTTCATACATTCCATTTTAATGTCAAAGAAAACTGACACCTCCAAGGTAAGTTGAGAATTATCTACAACGGTATCCTAATGGAAGAAGGCACAGCCAACTTTACATACAAGGACAAACTCAAACCAAACCAAGGACACAATGCTACTTGGATACTTTAAAAGCTGATGGTGGCACATCCATCCAGAGTTGCTTACCTTGCTGGTCCTTTCCAGTGAGGCCATGTCTGTTTGCAAAGCATCTTGTATCTTTCCAAGCAAGGTTCATAGGCCTGGCGGAAGGCATAGCCTGCACGCCTCACTCGGACATTCTCCAGAAGACCCAGGTACCTGATCTGATGGCATACCAGACTCTCGTTGAAAATGTGTGCTGCCTTTTTATCGTTTGGCTTGATGCACCTAAAACATTTCAAGGATTTTAGCTTCTCAACTCTGCCTCTGTGAATCTTAACTGGTGTTTCATGTCTAACCATTTCACAGTAATTATTTCCTATTCTTGGAGAATCATCATTTCACAACAAACTAAAAACAAATACAATATTGCACACACTGTAATTTAAAAAAAATGACTAAGACATGCAATGGCACTGATGAGCATCAATGACATTTTTTTGAGTGAAAGAAGTTTGAAAATGGTGCACATTGCACAATTAATGTGTATGAGATGTTCACATAAAACCAGTCTGAGTCTGTATTGCTGATTCTTCTGAGAGACGGCAGTGGCGAGGGTGGGGTGGGTGGTAGGTGGTGGTGGTGTGTGTGAGTGTGTGTGTGGGGGGGTGTCCACACAGGTGACAGTCATGAGGATGATAGATGTGTGTGTACACACTTCCTGTGTCTATGTATGTACACACAACATGTATGTGTGTATATTTCCTAACCCTGAGCTCATACACTCAGTTAGAGTAGCAGGCCAATGACCAGGAATCCCCAAGCACTAGGCCTCCCCTGCACTTGAATTATAGGCAGGACCAATTTCTTTATGTGGATTCCGGGGAATCTAAAGTCAGGTCTTCATGTTTGCTTTAGCAATTAGGCCATCTCCCCAGCCTCAAAATCTTTTATATTTTGATCTGAATGGGGTAACACATGTATATACATATGTAAAGATCCAATAAAGCTGTTCAACTAGGACTCATGCCTTTATTATGTATGGTGATAAGGCCATAAGAAGATAAAACACAGTCTTGCCTCCTTGGCCCATGTTCCTTTGTAACAGGGCTCTTTGTTGTGTAGGAAGGACTACTTTCTCACAGAATACTCTGCTAGTAGGCAGGTGTAGTCAAATGATCAAACTTTAGTATTAAAGCAGAACTAATGTGTTATGTTCCTGTCTGTGCCCATGAAACAGCCCTTTGTCAGTTCAGTGCTGACTGTGGTATCGACATAGTGGGTAGCACTCTTTGACCACAAAGTTGAGGGACACACGTTGGAAATGGCAGAGCCACAAAACAGAAATAATTTTCCTATTAGTTCTAGAGCTGCTCTTACACTGAAAAGTCCTTACGAAGAAATAAATGCCAGACTTGTAGAACATTATCAGCTTTGGTTCATACAGCAGCCATCCCTGTGCTGACTAACACAACTGTTAAACATCCATAGTTATGACTGTAGAACTGTTAAGTGACCTCCCTAAAACACATACACTCTTCAGACAACTAAATCTCATCTGGTTTTGTTGTGATGATTGTATACTCTTCCTTTTACTATGTAATGTCTACTCTATGCACTAAACAAAGGCAACAGACAATCAATAGGAAAGTCTTAAGTTCAGAATTAGTCTCCTATACATATGTTCAATTGGTTATTGATACAGGACCAGGGGCAATGAATAGAAAGAGTTTTTAGCCTTACGTTGAAATCTGAGGTTGCCAAGGTCCTAGCAGTGAGCATGTAGACCGTCTCACAGCCTTGGGGCCTATTCCAATTTCTTATAGAACACACAAAAACTAGAGAACAAAGAACTGTCTAAGGTGATGGTGCATGTTTAATGTCTTAATCCTGGTGATGCTGCCAAGGCAAACATCATGATTATAAAGTAATTGAATTGTTCACACCTCAAATCTGTGTGTATCACTTCATGTAAACGGCACCTCAAGAAAACTGAACAGCAAAAACAAATGATCAAAGATTCCTGCCTGGCTATTTTTTAGGAATGAGATTTTCTCTCAATGCATGTTCTAACTTGGGTAGATCAAGGCAGAACATTTTGCCTGTTTCAGTTTCTACTGATATAAATGTCAGGTAACCAAACCAAACACACAAACCAAAAAATGTCCTTCACTCTGGTTTCTCCCTAACTGAAATTCCAAGGGTAAGGTGTGTGCTAACATCCGATCTTTCAGCTAGCACACCTCCTACTGCTTCCTGAATAAGCACACTCTACAAATTCTAACCCCAGTGGGACCTTCCCGAATCTGGAGCAAATCACATTTAAGATGACCTAGAAGCTGGAACACAAACAAAACGGTGACACTAGAGGTTTGGGAGAGGAAGTCTTTCCTATTGCCTTGAAGACATTTGGATTGTTTTAGGAATGGTTTCTCCCCAAGAAAGTATAGGGCCTGGGTTCTCAGGGACACCAGAGTGGCCACCAAGCTGCCTGCTTTGGTGCTTCACTCTGACATCACTAGAATCTAAAGAGTGCCAAGAACAGAGCTTCACGGAAAGCCCCAGGAAAACATCTTACCATTTGTTCTTGTAATAAAAAACAAAACATAACAACAGGAAGTTAGAAGCCAGGCAGTGGTGGGGCATGCCTTTAATCCCAGCACTTGGGAGGCAGAGGCCAGCCTGGTCTACAAGAGCTAGCTCCAGGACACGCTCCAAAACTACAGAGAAACCCTGTCTTGAAAAACACAAAACACAAAACAAAACAAAACAAACAAAAAACAGGAAGTTGGGAACTTCTACATGCTAACCTCCAGCTTCCTGTCTCCTGTCATGCCATACCACATTTTCTCCCTTTAGCTCCCCCTTCCCCCTCCATTTTTGGGAAAGAAATACAGCTGTGAATTGTTTAGGGCAACTAAACATTATATTATTTCATCTATCACTGTGTTTGCTATTCTCTGCTACATTTAAATGTAAACAAATAGGAAAATAAGATTATTAAGTGCTCTTTAGATCTTAACTCGTGTTCTGGAAGCACCTGATATAGTTTGGATTCTTGGTCTGCAGGTTTTTCATCAAAGTGGCCACGGATGCCTTGAACTGTGACCCTGCTGTAGGAGGTCTTTTCAGGTTGACTTTTGCAGGGTTCCCTTCAGGGAACAGAGATTTGATGAGGCTATGGCCGGCCTTCCACATGGCTTGGGACAGGTCTCGGTACAGGAGGTCGTTGTTCTTGTCCACAAACCCTTCCACCTGGTACAGCACCTGTGAACAGCACAAGGAACTCAGTGCTGACCCACTGCACAGGACATTGTCAAACAAAGATAATGACACCCAGACTCCGTCAGCATCAAAAAGTTCCCCAGTACATTCGCCACACACTGATATGCAGTTTGCCTCCAACTGTGAGCTCCATCAATTGAGGGTGCAGATGAGATCAAAATAAATTCTAATGTCCTTCAGGACTTGCAAGAATAAACTCCAAAATGTTATCATAACATTTTCAAAGGATTTCAGATGATTTTTGGTATGAGTATGTGTCTGAATGTATTTGAGGATTTTCTTTTCTTTTTTTTTTCCACATGCCAGTCTAGTCTGTTTCAAAGTAAAAAAAGGGAAAAATAAAGATAACACTGACATTTTCAAAGACATGCTTAACACCAGAGAAAGTGAGCAGGAATGTGGCTTTTAATATCACAGGCCAAGGCCAATGAAGGAAAACAATGTGCCAATGTTTGGGCATTCTGAGATAAAAGGCAATCCAGGTATTAGCCGTTTTCACTAAGTGTATAACTAAGGAATTCCCCCTTGTGAAGTTTCATTCGTATTTATAAAGGCAGTATTAACTCCAGTCAAAAATCCCATGAGATTCTAAAAATTAGCCTACTATCCAAATTGTTTTATTGAAATTAACTTCCTCAAAGGCTGGAAAAAAAAAAAAAATGAACTAGGTAATCACCCCAGTGTCTCTCAAAATACCCATCAAAGAATTTTTTTATTTTTGCTAAATGACTTGTGCTTTTAAATTCTTATTGTAGGACTTTCTTCTGGATGATCTCTGTTATCTATGTTGCTGGGTATTTTTGACAGAATGGCTTAACAGCTGAAGATAATAATACAATGATTTAAAAAGCACTTGGTAGTGTTTATTCAGGGTACTGGCTGTTTTCAGCTGTCTCATGTTAAAGAGATTTAGCTCAACAGGGTCCGGGCTCAGTGGCCAGTGAGCATCTGTGGCTTTGGCTGGCCTCATGCAGCAACACTGTTCTGCACACCCTTCTCCCCAGAGCCATAGCAGCCCTGGGAATAGCTGTGGGCTGGGGTGCTTCCCGTACCTTGCCAGCATAATGCTGAATTCTGAAGCAGCTGTGAGGCAGGGTTGTGTCGTTGAGGAAGCGGGAACACTTGCTCATCCTGCTCTCGAAGTGCTGGTGGGTGGCACAAACTTGGTTCAGCTTTTCCAGGAAGGTGTCGTCTGTGACAGTGCCTGGCCTCAGGCACTCTTCATCCAGCATGGCCAAGATTCCATTCGTGTTCTGAGAGGAAAGAAATGAAGGTGTTTCCTTCCTTCCTTGCTGCTCTGTTTAAATAATTAGTCCTAATGACAACATCTAACACAATCAACTTCGCCAGATGCAAAATTCTCTTCAGCTATTACAGAGAAAAACAGACAATCAGAGACTCACAGGGATGCGGAAGCCAGCTCCTTCCAGGCAAGTCCCAGGTGCTCTGGGGGTGGACAAAGGAGTCTGTCTTTGTGTCTCCTTCTCCAAGACAGGAAGGAGCAGGAATCAACTCATCCTTGGTACAAACAAAAGTTCTCAGGAGAGTGTGTGTGGGCCTCAAATCTAAAGTCAGGACCAACATGGCAAAATGGTATCTACAACATGCTACAAATTCCACCACTGTCTCCTACAGCTTCTATTTGGTTCACAGCTTAGGAACTAAATCAGTCTCATGTTACTAAACGGTTCATGGATTCAGGGTAAAGCTGGGTTTCTCTGGGAAGGGGATAGTACTGTGTTTCAGGATGTTTTTCTTAATGATCCTGCAATCAAGTGCTTTTCAAAACCATGTTTAGAATAAAATTCTTGTTCCAGATACAATTTCTAAATGGGTATTAATGATGAGTGCAATTTTACTTGTGTGTTCAGACTCTATGATCACATTTATTTCAAGATGTGCCAGTCCTAAACTGAGCCAGAAACCAGGAATCTACCTGACTAAGAAAGTCAGTGCGCTTTCTCAGGCTGTCCCCAAGGCTCCTAAGTCACAATTCCAGAAACAATCCAAGCCACTGACCCTTAGCCCCACCCACTTCCACCAAGGCAAAGGTCCTGTCCTCACAAGGCTTATGATGTCCTCTGACCAGCGTTTATTCATTCCACACAAAACCCAAGGGAAGAGTGGCTTGCAAGTGTGTTCACAACATTCCCAGAATAGACACTGTTGTTCAGGGATGGAGGAGGAAACACTTCCTTTGAGGCCCAGGCTCGTCCGTGAACACGGGTTTCTTCAATCACACATACAAGTGACTTTGTGTGAGATAGACCAGTGTACTTAAATGTATTACATTTCCCTCTTTTAAGAGTGCCTGCTATTTAGGAGAAAAACACTCATCAGGAAAGTTAAACTTCCCACAGCAGAGTCCCCGAGTAACAAAACTTACTAGAAACAATTTTTAAAAATCTATGATTTCTAGATTTGAGGCGAGAACTCTGAATTCTTTGTGTAGAATGTCAATGCTCCCCTCCTAACACTGGGCAGAGCTTTCAAAACTGAGCTTATTTTTGATCAGGACGGAGTGGTGCTTTAGAATATGGTTTTCTATGTCCAACTCCGTCAAAGATGAAGTTTTCAAGAGAATCTTGCATATTGATGGGCAAACACTGGCTAATCACATGATCTCCACAAGGGCTTACTTGAAACAAGTAGAAAACTGTTTGCTGAACACTCAGATGGTATTCTAGAAAAATAGCACATGTCTCCGGGACAGGTTAAAAAAGTTGGCAGGAGAAATAAGTTGACACATTGTCTCAAATTACTACATCAAGGCCGGAAGTACTATCGACCCTCAGGAAAACAAAGGTGTTTCCTGTTTCCACACACAAACGCAGTTCCTACACCTACTTACTACAATGAACTACACAATACTGCCTAAAAACAAAAAACTTAGAATCATACAGCTTTCTAAAAACTGTCCAGGATTTTTTCCACTTTTATTCTTTTCATAGCCATATAAACTTAAGTCTGCTGAAAAATCCCAGCATTCTTGGCCACCAGCTAACAAAGGCTGGTAAATTCGAGGCCCTACCACCTGAAGGTATGAAAGGGCTGTGACAGGACAGGACCAGGGATCCTGGCAAAGTACGGTGATAAAAGCTGTCCATGCATACATTCAAGAGCCAAGAATGTACTTAGGATTATCATAATGTCTTCACAGCAAAGTAGCTCCTGGTCCACAAAGGAAAGTGTAAAACATAGTGAGATCATTTGTACATGGTGAATTATACTGCTAAAAATTCCTTTAATGCATAAGTACTCACGTTTTCTATTAGGTCACAAATGATAGCATTGTTGAAATAATCAATGTGAGTCCATTCTATGTCCTAAAAACAAAGCAAACCAAATCCACGTGACAATTCTGAACTGCCATTTAACATGGACTGGACTATTCTCCTCAACACCCACATTTCACTTTCTCTCTTTATAGAACCAGAGCTGTGAGCATCATCTCCCAGTTCCCAGAACTTCCTCAACACAGCATCTGCCATTGACAAACCCACAGATGCAATCGCCCTTGACCTGATCCAAGACTGCTTCCCATTCCACGCTCCCATCTGTGGCTGTTTCCCATGCACTCCATGGGCTCTAAGCCAAATATTTACTCAACAGGCCCTTGGGTCAATATTGCTCTGTGTATATTTATGATGTTTATAAGGAAATTAGGCAGAACTTGATCCCAGCAACCTAAGGCCTAGAGTTTTTATTTGTCATCACAAGGAAAAAATAATAATTTTAGAATCAATGCTGAGTTCTAAGTCAGTTAACTATTTCAAGTGCAAAAACAGCTTGGAGAGGAGAAAGTGTTTCCCCCATAGGAGATACCATGGAAAACCTTCCCCACAGCCTCCAACACAAGCTCCAGAACCAACCCTGTGAGGTCAACTACAATCATTTTGTCTGCCTAACCTCCATCTCTAGGCATAGACATTTAACTTTCTTCTTAGGAGCAAGTGAGGAACTTGCCTATATTCTCTTAGAAGGGTTTCAGGTAATCTGCACATTAATGTTCCAATATTCTGAGTATGATGAGAAAGACAGGACAAGAATGAATCTTGCTTTTAGGTTGTTTATGTTACCAAAAGTGCCAGACAAGAACAAGTACTCATTCCTTTTTATGTTGGAGTGGTAGTACAGTGTATGTATCTACCATAGTAACTTAGCCATTCACCTCCATTTTCTTAACACATTATTTTACGTAATTACACTGGAATCTGATGGGACTGAAGGCCATTAACTTCTATTTAATGACCACCTACTACATACCAGGTACTGTTCTGCACACTAGTGGTACAGTACCTAAGAGAGTTCCAGTTAGCACAGCTGCCATAATAACAAAATGTGAAGGTACAACAGAAGGAAACTTAGAGCTGACTCTCTGGTCATTTGTAGATAGTCTTCCAAATACAGACTTTTGGTTATAATGGAACAATCTTTCAGATGATTTCAACTTTACCTCCCGTATGTATTCCTCTTGCTCTTCTTTCAGAGTAAGTTCGATGAAGATTTGTTGAAGCTTTTCATTACAATAATTAATAATAAACTGCTCGAAGCTGTTGTCCTATGTGGAAAAAAAAAAAAAAAAAGGAAATACTCATATAACCATTTCACCAGCTCTCCCTACAAAGACACTCAACACTTCACGTCATATGAAATGCCACACACTACCGTTTGGACTCAACCGAGGCCCCACACAAGTTCCTAGGACAGATGTCCCTTGCAAGCATTTGAGGAACGTCATTGAACAAATGAAATATGCACAGATGTCATGGAACTTAAAGGTGGGGGTTTTGAGTTGGTAGAAAAGTCCCCCACACGTTGTTCAAATTTCCCCCGAAGTTCGGTAAAAGACACAGTGAGATCCATAATCAATCACCGCCAACAACTTCCTGATCGTTCACTCTCAGGTCCCCCTACCTCATCTGTGCCCTCCAACACTTAACAGCCTGTTATGTGAGTGTGTGAACAAATGTGTACACGTATGACTAGTTTCACAAATGATTCCGATTGCACTTTGCTTAAGGGAAAGGGCTAACCATATCATCTGGCTCACTGTGATTCATGCCATAACGTGCCATGCAAATACCCAACACATATGACAGCAGTGAATGTACTGAACAGAGATCCATGGAAGTCAAAGCATCAAAGCCAGCCTTAGCTAGAGAGACTCTCTCATGCTCCCAGGTGCCCCAATCTTCAGCTTCAGACGTTCTACCCCACACTAATCATCTCTTATGACCTCTCTGATGAACGGTCCATGATAAAATCATTTTTGAATAGTCCACAAAGCTCAATGAACACACAGAAGGTACAACTGTTATCTGCGGGAGGAATATATGTTTCACTTAGAATCTTCCAGAGTGACACAGATGTGGTGCCAAAGCTTGTCTTCTTCACTGCTACCTCCCATCCTTGCCAAGAGGTATTGGCAATGGGCAAAAGGGACACAACGACTCTACCTCTGGTAAACTTGACTCTACTCCACTGAGGTAGCCGATCCTGCTCTCACAAGGATCCCACATACATGGGTAGAACTGAGGTTCATCACTCTTTGTGAGGAAGCAGAGTCTGGCCTTCACATCTCTCTACAAATGACAAAGGCAAAACGTCACTGAGACTTCTGAAAGCTGATCTTTAAATTGACTTTGGTCCTCCCTAGGGCAGACCTGAACTCATGACACAGCACCTGGCTACACCCCTGCCTGATGCCCGACTTGTCCTCACCAGCTATGCAGTGATCAGAGACGTCTAACTACAAACCACAAATGACACACAGGTTTACACTGTTGCTGACTGGTCTCAGTAATGCTAGATTCAGAGAAGCATCGATGTTTTCCACAGTCCTGAAGGTTTTCACTAAAGAAGCAAGCATGTACTTTCAATACTTCAACAAATGTAGTTTTAGATGCAAATGGCACCCCCAACATGCCTTTTCACACAAATTCTTTAAAACCTCAGAGTTAACGATTCTGATTAGAAGCTGAAGCCAGTCCTCTCCAGTTGTCGGGCGTCTTCTCACTCTTTTAACTAGCACAAAGTTGCTTCATCTATGAAAAACATCAGGTTTTTGTGGTTTGGTAGAGTATGCCCTTATATAATGTTATGATCATAAATAAAACACAATATATGAGTACCTAATACAAGCAGACCTCTCAGACTGGAAAACAAACAGAGAGAGTAAAGTCTCCAGTTTGTGAATCTGTGCTGATGAAGCAATTTCAACACAATGATGCTAAGTTTCAAGTGTCCACTGATGAGGGCAGGGGGAGGGAAATGACAGGTGCCCTTGGATATATACTATGTGCTATGCACACTTTCACAACAAGACTATGAAATACATACAAACAGGTTAGGGCCAATGGCAAAGCTTCACAATTACAACACAGCTTGCAGATTAAGTTCCAACTAAATCTTTACAATTCCCTGCATTAGTTCTCTATTTCATATCCACACAATTAGTCAGCAACCATTTGCTACGAAACTCACACAAACTGGAGAAGCTTTTAGCACAGGTACATGCAACAGACTGGCACTGCACACAGTTTATACTTACTGCATTCTGGTGCAGGGGAACAGACACAAAATGCAGTCAGTTCTTAATTAGCAATAGACTTTTCAAAGTAAGCCCTTTCTCAGTTACTCACTGCTCTACATGGCACCTGCTGTAAGTCTAAGTGGTAGAAAACTTTAGATGAAGACAACAACCTAAGGGACAGTCCCTAAACTTGCATGCTGTATCCCAACCACTCATCTGCTAAGAAAGGGCTCTTCACAATGTAATACTGATAAATCATAAAACTTACCCATAGCCCTAGGGCTTCACAGTTCAGGAGGGATGCTTAATTCAGTGTAGCATCAGTGTAAAGAAAACATGCATGTACACCCAAGGTCTACATCTACCCATAGTCAGGGTCCGTGGCATTTGGAAAAAAAAAAAAATCACACAATAGTGGCGAGACCTTGCAAGGTCCAGAAGAACCCTCCCATCCATGATCTGCTTCTGTGTGCTACGTGGGATCACGCTGAACTCCTTCAAAGCCACTTTAGGTGGCACGGAGACAGTGTCCACCTAGGGATGGTCTAAGAAGAAAAGCTAATGATAAAAATCACCACCCAAGCCCCCAAACAAATACCCACACACCAATGCAGAAACTAACTTACTCCCCCACACTGAAATCAGCATCTACTCCAACTGTATTGTACATACTTCAAAACACATCATGGCCAGGGCAATAATTACTACCCAAATCTAAGACTAACAATATACACATCTTGTGGTGTAAGTTTAAGCTGTTGACATTGTTCAAATATGGGAAGAAATTCCTGGACATAATTGAAACTAACTTGGAAAATTTCAAGCAAAAGCCCACAGGGAAGGAACAAAGGAAAGAGAAAAGGAAAGGAAGGAGTGGAGAAGGGAGGGAGGGAGAGGAAGTGGGGGGCTGGTAACAATTAAAGTAATTCTAATGTGTACCATTCTAACACATTTCTCCATTTGTACAGGTTAAATTAATGTAAGGTTTTCAAATGTGGGTTTCTCTCCCCTCTACACAATGTCCAAAGCAAGTCTAGAAGTCGCCATAGACTCTGAATGCCTCCAACAGACATTTGTTCAGATACTCTTTTACTGGTAAAAACTGGGAGTGGCCAGCACCCCACATGCCCATCTCATGAATCAAGTCTCCAGGGAAGGAGTGACTTAACCTCTTCCCTAGTTTTCTTTACCACTTTACCCACACTTATTCATAAAATCTGAGGGATAAAGTTTAAACATTCAGGAATGTATTCAAACAAGTACATTCAGGTTTTTATTGAATGATCCCCTGCAGTGAAGCTCAGAACATCCTCTGCCCTGGCCAGATAGCTGTGGGGACACAGGGGATGGGATGGTGCCAGGGTTCCTGCTACTTTACAATGTGCACCAACCGCACTGGGGGGGGGCAGCAAGCACCCACCGCATTTATAGGGGTAGAACAAACTAATGCTTTAAATGCTAGGGCTTCTTAAAAAATCTTCTAGACTCTCAATGACCGTGCTCCCAGCAATTGTCAGGCCTACTTTCTGCTCCCAAGCACCAACCACGACTCCTCCACAGGCATGATTCTGAAAGATGGGCCAGAGACATTGCCTATTTACATTCTCCCTTGAAACAGAGGCAGTGGAGGAAACCTTACACTTCTAAAGGCAACCAGATATTTTTAAAAAGTTGTACTCTACAAATACTCCATACCCCATGTATTAAGGATGGGAGATGGTACATTTTGCAGGTGAACATTATGTTCTGGAAACCAAGCAGTTGGAACATAAAGACCATGATTTGTTCAAGCAAAATGTGGCACTAATTATACAATACACACTGTCAATGTTTTCTTATACAGGTCTGCCCTTCTATCTGAGGCCAAACATTTGGCATTTGGATGCAAAGTATTAGATGGGGTTTCATATTTATACACAAGGAAAGCATAACAAGTGGCATGGCTCATTTATAGTCACAGCACTTGTGCACTTTGGAGACCCTGAGATGGAGACAGCATTGCTGTAAATGCATACTAGTGATGGCATCCTTGTTGGACAGCCTCCAGCAACCCTCAAGAATAACACCATTTTGACAGAGGAGGGTAGTGCACTTAGCCACAGTCATTTTTTTTTTTAAAGCGACCATGCCAATAAACAGGCTCCAAAGCAATAACTAACTGTTAAAGTAAACATCAGAAAAAGAGTCCTCAAAATGTATAAGAGAAACATTTAACATTAGCTATTCACCCTTCTAAATATTTACAAAACTGATTAACAAGTTTCCCTTTAAATATATAACTTTAAGAAGGAAAACAGTGTTATTTTTGGTTTCTTAAAGATTTTTAACTAAACTGTAATTTTTAAAAACTAATATGGTGGGATTAAAAAAATCATATGCACAAACAATCCACAGTCACCATCTTCATTTTTAAACCCACTTCACCCCCTTCCTCAATTATAGGTCCTCTAGTACAGCGGGACACTAGAAGAGAAGGTACTGACCACAGCAAGAACTGATTAGAAAACATGTTCTATAACCACAAGATGCACTCACCAAGCTGCCTAAAGCTTGAGCATGAGACCCACTGTGTTTTTTACTACACATGGTTCATTATCGAGGAAACTACCACTCTGCCTGGATGAGAACATTTCACCTGCCCAGCATGTGCAATTACAGCCAGTGCTGCCTCCACGTTCTTGTGAGCATTAATGTTTAACACGTTTCCCAGTAAACTAACTGCCAGCTTTAATAACTTCCTATCAGATAAGCCCTAAGGAAAATTTTGCATTGCTCAACTTACTTTTGAATGTAATAGAATTTTTTTAAAGTAACAGCACTCCCCCACACACACCTATTTTTTTTTTTTTCCTTCTTTGAGCATTTCATACAAAGCATTTTGCTTATATTCACCCCCTCCTCTCTGGTCAACCCACTTATTCCTTAATGGACAAATGACAAAAATGTCTCAGAAATCCCAGTTAAAACAATGTCCAAACTTAAGTGTGGACACATCTTCCTTTGGAAAGTGGGTTTGCCATTCTACCAGGGTGTAGAGCAACAATGTTTTCCTCCCGGAAGTGTAATTCAGCTTTACCTTTCTTTATCCATGGTCCCTGAGTCTGTTTTCCCAGCTGGCATCAGATCACATGCAGCCAGCAAGGCAAGTTTATTCATCCTTTAGCACTAAATGTTTGGCGGGCAAATCCATGTGTCATCATCCCAAGGCTTAATGCTCCCATTTCCCCCTCCATTTAGAGAGGAACCAAAGAAGATTAAAGGCTTCCACCATGGTGACTAACACTGGAGTCACAGAGGCAGAAATGGACAATCGATGGAACAAACGTTCTGGACCTTGCTGTCTCCTTTCAAAGTGAGACCTACAGTGCTCTAAAAGCAGAATGCTATTTCCTGTGGCCAACTTTGACAGAAGAACCAAGGCAGAGTTCTATTTATACTCCGTTCTTTCTACCTTTCTGGAAAATACAGGAGCACTCGTTTGCACAGATCGGGGTTCTGAAGACCCTGTTCAACTTCAGCTTGTGGTACTCATAAATTCTTAACTAGCTGGGCTTTCTGTGGTCAATACCAACATTTCCTTATGTTATAATACTGTTGAGAATCCAAGAAAGCATAGGCTACTATCTGGGACAGATTCATGAATAATTTGTTAAAAGAAAGAAAAAAAAAAAAAAAAAGAGAGAAGTTTCACAATTTTTAATAAAAAGAAGTAGAAAAAAGTATCAAACATTATCCAGCCAAATTTTCATTCTAAATGCCTCCAAATGAATGTTTATACAATAAAAATCAAACAAATTTTAAAAACAAGATGGCTGGAGATTAAACTGAGAAGGTTTAGACAGAAAAATGGAGAGAACCATTAATTACAATGCACAAATCTCCTCTCAAGGAACTAAGAATGGGAATTGGCACAGTGGGACACACCTGTAATCCTAACAGCTGGGAGACAGAGGCAGGTAGAACTCTGTAAAGTAAGGGCAGCCTGGTCTATAGCCAGGCTAGTCAGGGGTAAAACTCAGGTTCTTGGCAGCAAGCAGCTGAGGCATCTTGCCAGCCAGTTGTTTAAATGCATTCATCTACTCTATGGGTATTAATTAAAGGGATCTTTTATATAAAGGTCTTACTTTAAAAATTGTACTCACTGTCCTCTTGATTGTAAGAGAATTTCTGTTTTTAGAGTTAATTATATTTAATTCTTAAAGCATCAGTTTCATGAAAACGAAAAATCAACTCAGTGATTTTCTATTATGATGGTGAGTTTTGATTGTCAACTTTATTCAGTGTAGAGTCACATGGGAAGGGACATTCAATAAAGGATTGTCTACATTAGGTTGTCCTCTGGGCATGTCTATGGAAGATACAATGATCATGGTATTCATGGTCGGAGGGTCGGAGGGTGGTTGGTACCATTCCCCAGGAAGGGAATTCCAAACTGTTTAAGAAAAAGGAGGCATACACCTTTAATCCCAGTACTTGGGAGGTAGAAACAGGTGGATCTTAGTGAGCTCAAGGCCAGTCTGTTCTACAGAGTGAGTTCCAGGAAAGGCTCCAAAACTACACAGAAAAACCCTGTCTCAAAAACAAAACAAAAAAAATGTCAGAGAGAGAAAGGAGAGAGGAGAGAGAGACCTGAACACCAGTATGCACTGCTCTCTAACTGGATATTCAGCTAGCTGTCCAGCTGCTTCGGCTCCAGCTGCCTTGACTTCCTCACGGCGATGGGCTATAACGTGGAACTGTTACCCAAATAAACCTTTTCTCTCTGTTACCCAAATAAACCTTTTGTCTCTTAAGTTGCTATCGTTAGAGTATTTCATTACAGCAACAGGAAAAGAAATTAAGCTGTCGTTCGACAGCTTACTGTAGATATAACTTACTGGACTTGTTCATGGCAGAAATGTTTGTTTCAAGAGCTCACTGACAGTATTAGCACAGGGAGTGCTAGGCAGCTTCAGTTCACACTAATGATTGTGTCTACAGAGCATTTGGGCTCAACCTTGCCTTCACGGTGGCATCACCGGGGAGCTGTGGAAATACTATTGCCAGGTCTTAGCTGGAGATTCTGGTACGACTGGTAGTACAGTCTGGACTTAGGAATTCCTGAACACTCCCAGGTGCTTCTCCTGCCTAGCTGTCTGAGCTCCTTCCACTAAATGTACTTAGGTAGAACAGTCCTCATGAGAAGAACACTTAGGAACACAGTGTTTGAGCTGTAGCAGTGTTGAAAAGATGATGCTGTGACTCGTCCAGCAGACAAGTTCATCAGGGAGATACGGAGAAAACCCTGAAATAAGGGCTTGCTGGAAGATACTTTATCCAGGACCAAGTTTAAGGATTAGGTGACCACATAGAGCAAGTATACACTGAAAAAAAGTAATCCGATCAGGCTTCCTGACTTTCTAATAGGGTATGTCTATCTTCAGCAGCAAAAGACCTTTAAGACCTTGAGCCAGATGGTAAATTCCAAGCAGACAGGGAAATCTCTGACTTGTTTGTTTCTAGGACTTGGTTCACATCAGGCAGACAATAAATGAATGACAATGGTCGTAAATTGCTCCTGAGACATACTCTGTTTCCGTTGAGAGATGTTAGGACCTGTTCTCTAAAGCTAATTACACCTTAGGACATCCTAGAGGGCAAACTAACTGTTCATCTTAACATAACTGCATTATCCCATCAAAACAGTTTCAATTGGGTGTGGTGGCTGGTAATCCTATCACATGGGAAGCAGAGGCAGGAGGATTGCCATGAGCTCAAAGCCAATCTCGTCAACATAGTAAATTTCAGGCCAATCAAAGGCTGTGTGTGGCATGGCACTAAGTGTCTATCTGCTTGCTTTGAGCAATAAATTGTTTTCTGGCAAAATTAATATAAAACTACTTTTAATCTTAGGAGCATCATAACTATATTTGTCTCTTCTACTTTTCTATTAAAATCTAGGTTTACCACTCAGCTAAATCATGAAACTATTTAAATTAAATCAAGGCTATATCAGCTAAGAGATCTTTCCGCCTGACAATGGTAAAGAATGCCTTTGACACCTGACTATTTAGTGACAGTAATCTGAGATCGCACTAAGGGAAACTAATTTAAATACAGTGGTTTCTGAATATATACAAGAATTCTCCTAAAGCACAAACCTGGAGTTCTTCTTTTTCATCAAGAGACCTGCAGCTTCCTTGTAGATTTAGCCTAAGAGGCAAACAGCGAGAACTTTGCTAATGACCGTCCCAGATAAGGGGAGGCTACACACACACCTCCATCTAGGAAGGGTCCCCAGAATGTCAAGAAACGGGGAATAATGACAAGATCAGGGAAATAGGGAAATAGCAACATGAGGGTTTCCCCACATCTCCAAATATTGGGAAACCCACGAGTTTGGGGAGGAAAGGAAGGAACTGCCCTTGGTCTTAATACTAATAGGAAAGAAGAACAATAAAGACACTATCAGGAAGCCAGGGACTTGGACCTATGTCTCCTATTTAGGTACCTGACCTTCAGGGCCTTACTTTCTCAATCAGTGAAATGGGAATAACAGCTATTTTCATGAAGCTGTTCAGAAGATTAAGATTAAATCCGATAACATGCATGGCAGCCACAACTGTGTTTGAGTTCATCTAGCACTCGGTAAGTTCTTACAAATAGCCAAATAGCCGTTAGGGAGGAAGTATGATTGAGGGAGAATGCACTACTATAGACAGGACTGTTATCAGAATCTCCGAGGACTGTCTGGTTAGTGCCCAAGAATCCGTGTTCATCTTTCCTGTGACCCTCCAATCCTAATTTTTTTTTTTTTTTTTTTTTTTTGGTGTGTGTACATTCTTTGGGAGGTCATTCTAGGCAGGGATTGGTTAATTAATGTTCACAAATCATTACTGTGGGTGAGAATTAAGGAAGGACATGGTGAATCAACTCATTTCCTTAAACTATACTAGAACACTACTCCAAGCTGCTGCTAAAAGTCAAAGGCAGGAAACTATATATAATTCTATATGAATATATAATGTTTAACCATGTGATCTGGTGCAAGCAAGCGCCTTCTTCTGCTGCAATGTTTGCTATGGTGAGATCCCAGTGGGGCGTGGCCTAGAGCAGACTGAATTAGGTATCTAATGGAAACTTTCACCCGAGATGCTATTTAGGCCATAGAAGCATCTGGCTTCCCCATTCCTCTATCTTTATGCTTCATTTTTCCAACAACCTACAAATGGCTGGATGGCCACAGGCATCAGTGTCCAAGTAACATGGCAAACACACCATTGAGAAAAATTTCAAAATGACTTTGACAAGAGTCTCTAAATGGTGATTCTGTGTTTACACACACATACCATGCAAATTCATGCATACATACTCACAAACACACACACACACACCTGTAACCTGTAGATTCAAAATATAGTTATATAGTTACATAAAATATAGTTATTTACATAATGCCCATACAACATGACTTCAGTTCTAATTGTTTTACTTTAATAATGGCAGTACTAATTAAAAGAAGAAAAAAAACTTACCTCAAATATTTCAAAGCCATAAATGTCCAGAACACCCATGACCTTCTTTCTCACTTTGGTTTGTGCCTTTAAAAGAATTTTCACAGTTACGTGTTAGTGCAGGCATGATATAACACTGTGAACAACTAAGAAGCACAGGCGTATGCATTTGATTTGAACTAGAACAATGATTTAGTTTGTTCTGTTCAAACTTAGGTAAGGGTACTGGCATGGAATAATGCAATAATGACGCAGTCACCAAAGTCCCCAGTGGTGCTTCATGACTGAACAGACAGACAGACATCATTGGCCGACAAGCAAACCTTTCAGTCACCTTCGCCAATAACCTCATGCTAATGAAGAACCATTAGTACCCAAAAGAAAAAGCCATCTTTTCAAAGAAGTGCATGCAGCTACTCGGAAAGCCGCTGGCTGCTCTTCGAAGACCATACATAAGACCAGTCGGTCACCGGTGAGACCCAGAGCACATAGCAAAGCAAGAGAAACAACTCTGGCAAATGCAGACTTGTGCAGGATGGAACCGTCTTAAGGAAGTACCCTTTGACTGCAGAACTAAGCTTCTTTAATTTAATGTTTACACTCTGAATACCATTCATTTATTACAAATGGTGTCTTAGAGAGTCAGTACCTTAATGCTTTCGTTGATACGGTTTACCAACCATGAAAACAGCCTGCTGTAGAGGTTTTTGGCCAGGGCATCGCGGGCGTAATAAGCCTATTAAGAAGAAAAACAACAGTTTAACACTAACAACTGTCACAATGCTTACCTTCTATAAAATAATGAAAATACTTTAAAAATATTTAGGCTACTTATTTCAAATTTCTCTTTGGGGTAATTTTTTTTATTATACACTGGATGAGTAGTCAAACTTTAAGAGAGTCAAGCAAACTTTTCACTCAGCCTACATATTTGTATCCCAGGAAGTTAATTCCAAATATTACAGAACAAAGAAAAATCAGGAGTGTATACCAAGAATAGGGAAATAAACACTCATGAAAGAGATGTACTATACCATTGTTATGGAAGAACACTACGGAATTAAACAAGTACACACTATGTTGTGTGAAAGAAATTGAGTAAGTTGTAGTCATAATACAGTACCCCCCCCCACACACAAAGGACAGGAAACAAGATAGCTCAGAGTAAAACAATCAATAAACCCCCCTTTTCAGTTATGAACCCATTTCTTTAAAAAAGCTATAAAAAGAGAAAGGATCGTGTTGGCAGGTGGTGGTCCATGCCTTTAATCCCAGCACCTGGGAGGAAAAGGCAGGTGGATCTCTGAGTTCCAGACCAGCCTGGTCTACAGAGTTTCAGGACAGTCAAGGATGTTACACAGAGAAATTCCCATCTCGAAAAACCAATTAAAAAAAAAAAAAAGAGGAAATATAATTGATAAAATAATTAGAATATTTAGACTATTTCAAAAGATTAAAAAGAAGGGCGTGCATTATAAAGACCTATGGAGATATAAAATTCCTAAAAACTAGGGCCAGTGTGATGGCTCAGGTGAGAAAGCCCTATCTCACCAGGCCCTACAGCTGATGTTTAATCCTCAAGTCCCACTGGGGACGAGAAGCATCCTTCTAAACTCTAAGTGAGCCATCCCTCTAAACTCTGATTTACACTTGCAGTGCTAGCATACATTCTTTCCCCTCTCCACCTCATATTAATAAAGTTCAAGCATTATCGATAACATAAATCAGTACACATTCACTTTATAAAGATCACACCTTGTTAGGCTGTTAATCAATCTTCCCTCCCTCCCTCCCTCCTTCCTTCCTTTCGACCAAGTGTAGCAATATTCACACTCACTTCCCTGGTGAGAAGAGAGTACCTCCCTCACTCCACTAGACATTTTCCAGTTAATGCTAAACCCTTTCCCATGTGTCTCGGAGAGCACAGAAATCAGGAGGAGGGGATAAACCTAGAAAATCTGCTAGAAAAGGGAGAGAAAGAGGGAAGGAGGGCAGGGAGAAGGAATGAGAAGGGAAGGAGAAAGGGGAAAGGGGAGGAAAAGAGGAGAAGAAGGGGAAGGAAGAGAAGAAGGAAAGAGGAGGGGAGGGGACGGGAAGGGGAGAAAAGGGGTGGGAAAGAAAGGGGAGGGGAAGGGAGAGGGAGGGGGAAGGGTGATCACGATGAGATTCCACAGTAGAAATCCACATCACTAAAACAGAGTACAAAAGACAACTTAGGTGCCCATCTCCCTTGTCTAACACCCTTTCTGTGGGTTTCACTCTCCTAACAGGTGACTCAAGAGCCCAGGAAGTGTGGGGAGTCTGTACACAGTTTCATTGGACATGTGACGTATGCATTTCTATAACTAGTGTCCATTACTGTCATTTTCTTAATCCTTTCCTTTTTTTTCTTGTGACTCCAAGTCACCTCTAAATACCTTACCTGCAAATAATCCTTCTTACAGTCACCCAGCTGCCCTAACAAAGCACGCTTGTGATGTGCAACAGAACTGGGTGGCAACACGTTCCAGAGGGCTGCTTTAAAGTTAAGGCAAAGTCACAGCCAGACTTCTTCTCTTTGCAGCTTTCAAACAAAAGCTCTATTTCAGAAGCCACAAATTCAAATGCTATTAGATGTGACAGAAATGAACGGGGCGGGGGTGGGGGTGGGGGTTGTAAGGGTCGGAGGATGGATTCTATGTTAAAGGCACACAAACTCTTTTAAAAAGCAAATAAAAATAAAGGCCAAACTATCCATTGTTCAAATAAAATCTGCTTCTGAAGCTGTACGTGGCACCATACCCTGCTGTTCCTGCTGTTCGGATGCCCTGAACTTCTGGAACTGAATCAAGTCACATGCTCTCTACTCTAGTGACCTAGGAAGCTGAAAGGGCAGGAAGGCTGGTTCCCACTGAAGGATCACTACTGTGGTATGGAAATGAGGGGAAGCACCAAAGGGTATGAGTCACTGCCTTAGACTCTAAGCACACCAGTGAAAACAGACGCTTCTGCAGCCTCCCGATGCTCACAGAGGAAAACCCCTGGTGGAATCGACTTCTGAGAAGGCTAATATCAAGGATGGCCTGGAATGGGAAGTGCTAACTAAGCAAGGTGGGACACTGATGGGGGTGAGCCAGCAGTAGAGTGCAGATCACATTAACACACAGAGACCTCATTCAGAGGGAAGGTAAGAGCCAGAGTACAGAGAAGGAAGAGGTCAGGAAATGGGGGCAGGGGGTTTAGGAGCCTATTTAATCAGGGAAGTCTCTCTGGCTAGAGTACAATCACATGAACCCCATAGATGGGCATATGGAATGAGCAATGACATATGGATGATGGGCAAGCAAGAGGAAAGACACCAAGTAAAAATAAAACTCTGATGCAACTGACTGAGATAAGTCACGTATGTAGGGTGAGATTACAGAGAGACCAGAAGGCTAAGGAGAGACAGACCACGGATGGTCTCATTCCGGTTTTCTTAGTCTTCATGTCTGTAGGAAGATCTAAATGCTTCAGAGAAGACGCGCCAGGAAGGCAATAAAGATGTTACTGCAACCTGAGGGTGAAGGCTATGAGCAAAAGCTAACAAAATGATCTACCTCTAACAGAAAACCTACCAACCACCAACATTGAAAAGCAGCAGGGTAGTGCCCCCCCCCCCAATTGAACTGCCAAAATCAAGCGGGGCTCAAGCCAAATCTTTTATGACAAAGGTTTAAAAACTACAGGTAACTCAAACAACCTTACCACTAAGACCTGGGCTTCCGTAGAGGATGAATAAAAAGCAAGAAGAAAACACCATAAAAACAGATTCCAAATCCACATATCTCCACGGCCTCTGAAACACAGGCTATTTCATGGCCTTCATAAGACAACTCCTCTGGCTGTTGAAAATGTCCAAATTTGGTGGCTCAAATGTGACCCTGTGGCAGTGAGCCTTTGCTTATATCAGAACCCCAAATTCTTTAGTCCTATGCCAGACCACAGAGGTGTAGCGGAATGAATGAATGAATGAATGAGATAAAGACAATAAACAAGCCACCCAGGTAACTACGATGAGTGTCCTTTGTCTGAGACCCTACTGCACACATCCTTCAGGCCTAGCTTGACCTTCCAGCTGTGAATACTGAGTAAAGCTGGAGCCACGGGTGGCTGACCCTGATCTTCACTTGGGCTCCAAACCTATGTTTCTTTTTGTTCATTCTTTCTCATCTAAATCCTGTCTCTCCACAAAGTTCTTCTTAGTCTCAATTTCTCCAATAAGGGTCAGCTGGGGCTTGTGCTGCTCTTGCTTTCACATCTTCTCAACGAAGTCAGCTGTTCACTGACTGACTGAGGATTCAGGTGACTCTGAGAGAGATTTAATGACAGAAGCAATCATTTACATGGTTTCCAGCGAGGGAAGGGCTGCTACAATCCAAATCTCCATATGGCAAAGCTTTTCCATAGCTACAGAAATACAAAGGAAGCAGAGACAGTGAGAAGCCCAGAGTGAGCCAGTTAATTCCAGCCCAGATCAGCACTGACTGGTAGGAAAATGTCAAACTCACAGAACAAACGGTTCATACCACAAGGGACTCCAGATGCCATCTGAGTGTGCTCACACTGTACACACCTTGGCAGGAACAACTCGCACCTGTATCTTACAAAGACTTCAGTAGGAGTACAATATAGAAGAAAGAGTCAGGATTGGCCATCTGGGCTCCTATCTTCCTATTCTCTTCTCCTACAACACTGAATCAACCACTCTTTGCTCCTCTTACCCCATGCATTAAGCCACCGGCAATTCTGTAGCCTCGAATTTCAACGCAGGTCCACAAAGGCCATGTGCCCTGGCTCCAGTGCCAAGCATCTGGATTAGCAAGTGCCCTTCTAACTGCCAGTCTTTTCTGTTTCCCCTAGGCTCTGCTCTTTACACCCAGCCAGAAGGACCCTTTGAAACATGAGGCAGATCATAGCCAGCTCCTTTCGATCTGAAGCACCTTCCTTTCTGACTCTATGGGCATCAATCTTCCTTACTCTGTTCTACGCTTTCTCTGTGTCATTGTCTTAGCAGCTGTTGCTTGACAGATTATTTACTGTGTCTATTGACTATTATCCAAAATCCCCTGGCCTTAATTTTCAGCTCGCTGAGGACGCGAACTCTTATCTGCTTAATTTTCCTTAGTGTTTCCACTGCCTAGAATAATATGTGGAGTATAGGCTGACTGTCTGCAAAATAACATTTCACAAAAGTATGACCATTTAAGAAAACCTTTCTTCTGTACATTATAGTTTACCCACCTGAGCCACATTCAGTGTGGTGGAAACTTTCTCCTGCTTCGCTTCAACTGTTCGGAAACTAAACGCTCTTTCTAGAACCAATTGGTCAATGCTGGTCAATTCACAGATTTCTTTTAACTCTGTTGGGGAACAGAGGGAGACAGGCATAAACAGTGAGGTACTCCTGGTCACGATCAAGTCCTCAGTGGCTCTTTCTACATCACACTCAGTATGTAAACATGGAGGAATCAGAAGGGCGAAAGCATCACCACAATGGTATTTCGGTTTAGTTTCACTAGTAAGTTTTTTTGGTTTTTTTTTTCAACCTGATGAGAAGTCCATGGTTTGCTTTCTAGATTAGAAACTGGGCAGAAGTTCAAAGCAAGTCCCCTAAGCCAAGCTGCCCCTCCACGGACTTACCATTTTTGTCTTTGATTTTGCTTTCATCCAAACCATTCATTCGTGATTCAGGCTTGAACTCGATGTTCCCCAGTTTTAGCACAGCGGCTACTACCTCCAGGACAGCTTCGGTTTCATGATCCATAAAGCCCACGATCTGCATGGCGTTCTGGAGGAGAGGAGAGAAGAGAAGGGCCTATTTGCTTTCTAGAGTTCTGTACCTGTTGTTTTAACCAATAACGAAAGTTAATGAATACTATTACAGATCTACTTCTGGGGTAAGAAAGAGTTTTAAAACACAAAACAATTATCTTGCTCAGTGGTTCCAAGCTGTACTTAAGAGTCTTCCAGGCTCCAGGCACACTTAATGGCAGAGTTGTGTGCACAAGAGGAGGCTGGGAGCTAAGACTCAGTCCCCCTCTCCCCTTTTCAAATCAACCAGCTTGTTTCCATAGACGGCATTTTTTCCCTACACTGGGCTTCTAGAAACAAAACCAAGCAAGATGTTTCTACATCCTCCAGCAACAGAAACAGCCTTGCTTATTTCACAAATGAGAAAAACACCAGCTTGCAAAGGTGAAGTGCCCTGAAGGGTGCAAGGGACACTCATTCATTCAGAAATGTGCATGGAGTGCCAAGTATGTGCCAGGCAAAGTGGTTCCAGAGCTGGCCTTGGATTCAAGACTTAAACAAAATCATGTCCAGACTATTGCTTCCATATGCCGGTGTTTACACAATTCTACACAATGGCACCCTGACAGATAGATGCTTTCTTCCCCCAAACAGCTGGCATTATTCTCTCTCTCTCTCTCTCTCTCTCTCTCTCTCTCTCTCTCTCTCTCTCTCACACACACACACACACACACACACACATACACACATACACAGAGAGATAGTTTACACAGCAGTGACAGTAATGTACACTTTTTGTTATGGAAATTTTCAAACACATACATGGGTAGCAAGAACAAGGAAAGGACCCCACGTCCTCTTCATTCAGCCTCAACAGTTAACGGGTGCCAATCTTGCTTCATCTGTAATATGATGTCCCCTGCTCCTCCCCAAAGCCCCAGCTGTCTCATTTGGAAGGAAATCCCAGTTACCATAATGTTCTTCCTAATGGGAGTGATTCTGAAAGTGCACGCCACATAAAGACAGAGAATTTTTTAAGAGTGGGCTTCTGTGCTAATGAACAAGAGACTCAGAGCCCTCTGATGCTGTACATCATTTTCTGAATCTGCTTAAAAAACAGGCATTTCTGTCTAAAAACACTCTTGACTTAACAGGACCCAAGGGCAGTTTTCATATTTGGAAATTAACTTCGGCTATATAAATACTTGGATTTCAACACACACACACACACACACACACACACACACACACACACACACACACAGTCAAATCCCAGAACAAAAGACGAAGGCTCCTTTTTACAAATGGTCAAACAGCATGCTCTAGCAAACATAGCCTTCACAACTTCGGGTGTAAAGCCAAACTAATAAAAACATAAGGAATTCCTGAATGCATGTAACCTGGGGGAGCGTGAATTGTAATGCAGAGAAAACTGAATGGCTAAGGAGTACAGGGTAACTAAGGGTAACTTCTTACCCTGACAGTTCTGAAGTTGGCAGCATCATCCACACCATTAACTTTGGCAGAGTCCAGACTGAGATAGTTGTATCTGCTGAAATCCCGCTCGAGCTTAAGCTTTTCTGTTGAGTCATGCACACAAATGAATAAGTTATTTCAACAAATGTCTCCTCTTCCTGATTTCATTTTATACTGTTCAGATAAAATGACTTTTGTATTATGTATCAAATCAACAATAAAGACTGATGCACAAAGATCAATAGTAGTGTTCTCCTAAACCCACTTTTGTAATGACTGCACACTTATTATTACTGAAACATATTGTAATGCAGGGTGGTCACACATAGCGGGTAGAAAGGTCTTTATAAATTGGCTTTGAATTCATATGAATTATTATGATATATCCCAAAAGGTGCTAAGACAGGGACACAGACTCTGATCATTTTGTGACTTTTTGGAGGACTAATACTGACACTTATAGGCACTCATTAGCTCAGTAGATTGCAAGTCTAGATATCAGAATAATCTTCCGAGCTTTTCCTTCTCACACTTTTGCTAACATATGCATAGTGGGCAATTCAGCGTGTCCCAGTGTGCGTTGGTTGATTACCAGAGAGCATGGTGATGAGGGTTAATTTTCATTGTCAACTGAATTCAGGTCACCTAAGACACCTCTATATTTTGTTGAGAGAGTTCCACAGAGAGAAGACACACAGGACATGTGGGTGGCACCATCCATGGGGCCTAGAGTAGGTGTCATGAACACCAGTGTCTACCCCGATATGCTGCCGATCTGCCCAGGCATGAGTAGACACACAGTCCATTGCTACAAGTGCAAACACTGTTGCTTACCACTCTCATTCCTGTATCCCTCCAAGCCTGAGCCAAATCAACCTTCCTGCTTTTCCTAAGTATTTAGTCACAGAAATAAGAAAAGTAACAAATAGGGGGTATCACCCTGCTTGTGACTGACTTTCTGAAGTTCTTGATTGAACTGTTAGATGATGTAGCCAATAGCTATTGAACAATTCAGTTGCCTTTACCCACTGAGTCATCTTGTCCATCCTATTCCCCATGATTTTTAAATCCTCACTCAAAAAATTCTCTTATAGCTGTAGAGCTTTACTACACACTGCCAAATTTCTTCCCTCGAGAGTTACATAGTCCTCTGTTCGGATTTTAAATTTGCGAGAGGCCCTTCCCCCACCGTAAGGCTCCCCCAACACATTTGAGGCATATGACTTGGTCCCTGGTGTGATAGAGAAATATGAAAGAAATGCTGGGGTGTGGTAGAAGCAAAAATAACAAGGAGAAATGAAAATGTCGACAGGGGAGACATACAACGTGTGTTGTAGAGGGTGGGTCAGAAAATGCTGTGACAGTAAAGAGCAAACAGCAACTCGGACTTACGGAGCAGCTCCTCAGAGGCTCCAGAGAGCAGCTGATAGAACACGTGGAAGTTTCTTTCACCTCTGGGCTGCTTAACAACACGAGATTTCTCTAAAAGATCTAAAAGGAAAAACAAAGAAAATTAAATGGTATAGAACTCATTTTGCCTTCAAACATATCATACTTGCTTCCTCTCTCATTACTTTTATACTGGTTAAATAAAACATTAAAGAAGTTATATTTTAAGTTCTACTTTGAAAAAGAAGCACAAGTCAACCAAAACTTAAAGCAGTTACTTCCAACATATCCAGTCAAGATAAAGCTCTTAGTACCAGTATCCTCCTAAGTTTTCAATGGTCATATTCAAATTGTAAAAATTTAATGTTACAAATGTAAGCATTGAAATGCATCCAATCAAAATCCACATAATAATTACAAGGCTAGAAAACAAAGATGCTAGGTCCTGTGTGTAAGAGCTTCTTGGATAGTGTCTTGTCTCAGCAGGCATCACTGTACAGCCCAACACAGAGGCAGAGGCAGGGGTATCTGGGACACCCAGATTTGAAATCAGACCATCTGACAAGGTGCAGGTTTCAGGCTCACATATGCCCTTTACCTTTTGGAAGAACTGGAGTGGGTCTTCTATATTAAAGTTTTAGGATTTTGTGTTACTTGACACTATACATTCACTGACTTCAGATCCTTTATCGTCTCTTAAACTTAAGGTCTCATCAAGTTTTCACATTTTTACCCAGAAATGAAAAACTAACAAAGAAACTAGAAAGGACAGCAGTCTCCTCCTGCCTAGAATCCCGCTAACCCCTCACCAGAGACACAAAAGAGTGTCTAAGCTATTCTGGCAAAAGGTAATTGTAAAATGTATCCTTATAAATGTATGCTTTTAGTTATAAAAAACTGTCGAGATAACATTCTACACGATTGGTTCTCTTTACCAACACACTAAGTCCTAATCACGTTGAAATCCAAATGTTATTTAACTGGGTGTGAGGTTAAACAGAAAGCACCATGAAGGCTCCCAAGGAATGCTAACTGATGTTTTTCATTTGTATCTGTGGCATCTAGAAGAGCATTTGAGGATGCAGAGTGGGAAGAATTTAACAATGTAGTCATGGTGAAAGGGAAATCTAGAGTGTTTTAAGTACATTTTTTATAAGAACAAAGAGATGGAACACAAGACCTATATTAAGGCAAATGGAAAAAGAACAAAAATATTTAAGCACAAAAAAAATTAGAAATGAGGTATTGTAGATATTTTATGTTCATCTCCAGCTGTCATAAGACTTGGGAGAATACAATGTCCCCAATCTGTGGTGAAGAATAACGAAGGCATGACATTTAGAAGAAAAAAAAAAAAAAGGAGGGGGATAAAAAGTGGAAACCACAACTTAGGGGTAAAACAGTGTGTAATATTCATCACCTCTAAAGAAATGAGATTTCAAACAGCAAGGATACATGAGTGTAGGAAAGCAAATAGGTAAAAATACAGTATGGTTTTACTTATCAAGCTTCTAAAAGATCTAACAGCACTGTACAATTCTGGGAACAAAGAAGCCAAGGGCAGATTCTTCACAGAAAAGTTAATCCTCAAAGGAAATCCCCACGCCTAGAAGAAAGTAACTGACTACATGAGAAATACAAACAAGGGCTACATTCTGCTTTGTCCATTCACACACAAATTCCTTCAGTGGAATCGCCACCCACTGCGCACCAGGAACTATTCAGGAATCAGCAAACATGAAGGCTTTCTTCCAAGATCTTGGCTTACAAGTCACCGTGTCAGTGGCCACATAAACGTCTTCCCAGGTGAGAAGAGAGGTTCACAGCTAGCTGGTGAATGACTCAGCAGATAGAGCATGTGGACCAGAGTTCGGATACCCAGAATCCAAGTGAAACCAAGATGTGGCAGTGTGTGTCTGGGCCCCCTTCATCTCCGGTGAGATGGAAGCATCGAGGAGAATCCCGAAATCATGAGTCAGCTGCCTGGTATTGCACCAGTGACTATGATACCATGCCTCAAACAAAGGAGAAGACCAACACCCCAAATCTTCTGACCTCTACACAGGAACCATGGAACATGTACCTGTGTGTGCGCATACACACACACACACACACACACACACACACACACATACACACACACACTCACTCACTCACACCTCACACACGCAAAGGCAGATGTCTAGTTGTTCATGACTGAGAAAGTGAGGGTGAGGGAGGCAGAGTAACTAAAAACTCCAGACGGTTTCAGATCCCTAAAAGCCTTGCCACACCCCATAATCGCTAGACACCTCCCAAGCCTGGGGCTCCTCACCCAACAGTAACAGTAGCACCTTAGTCATGGATACCAATGTGCTTGGCAGCACTTACACAACCATTTCTCATGCTTCGAGACATGAAATAATACCTTCAGGAGAGCGTGTGATTGATACACTAGCCATACTACGCACCTGCAACACACTACTTAGCCTGACGTTTGGCCCCCTTGAGAATGTTCAGACAATGGAAAATGTGAAAATAGCAATGATGGTCAGATTCAGAAATGGCTGTGGAATTCATCACAGTTACCATTGGTGACTTGAAGACCAGCAATGTGACAAAGAATGTAGACTGAATGTACTTCCTGACTCACAAATGTATTGATATAGTAAGGACAAATTGACGCATGGACTCATATCACATGTGTTTAAAGGAAAGGTACAAAAGGGAAGTAGAGGCAGAATTTCAACTTCCTTTCCATCTGTGAACACATGCAGCCCTGAGTGCCTCCTCTGAGGTTGACCTCCACTTTATAGATGAGAAAGTGAGGCTCAGTCCACCCTGGCGGGAGTCTGAACCCACAGCTTTGGTTACTGGAGTTCACGCTTAGGCTCTTTAAGTTTTCAAGGGGGGCAGGGAGAGGGAGATGTAAAACTCTCAGCATTTGGGAAATGCTGGACTTTATATGAAATCCATGAATTCACTAAGCAACTCTCTCACAAAATGAGGAAGCTTTTATTACAAAGCAGTTGAAGGTTTTACTACGTACAATGCTTACTCTATTACCCCAGAGCCTATTTCAGGTGCTTTATGACTTTCCATGTAAGTCATAAGCTTCCAAGTAGAAAAGTAATTAGAGGAGTGTTTGCCCCCAAATAATTCACTAATGCTTGAAACCATTCCCTGGTGGTGTTTTGTGCTAAATGTGCATGTACCAACATAATCAAACAGCATGAAGCCATATCAAATAATTACTCAAAGTAGAGAATATAAACTCAATTCACTGTAGGGACTTCTCACCTGACCACGTCCATTTGCTTAAATGTGCCCCGAACGAAGTGGAAACAGAACCTAGCACAATTTTTCCCTGCTGGGCCTCTGCTAGGGACATTTAGAGGCATAATGACTAGATGCCAGGCCCTCAGTACAGCAGAGCATGTGAGGATCTCCAGACACCCCAACGCAACTGCATCCCAAGATGTAAAGTTCAACATAAATTCAAATTACAAACAAATAAACTTATTAAGCCATTCCGGAACAATAGGGACAAAGAAACATTGGGACCAGAACCTGCCCTCCTACCTAACAGGCCATCACCAACTGACTGCTGACAAAAGAGACGTAGCTAATCCACAAGATGTGCATGTGCCTGCTGGTCTCTTAGAACTCCCTTCCTAGGCAAACAGATAAAGAAATAAAATGTCCATGGTTGCATTCACTGGAAGAGGAAGGCTTTCTAACATAGGCAAAGGGATTAAAAGGAGTAAAAAGGGTGAAAGGGCTGGGAAGAAGAAAAAAAATCTCTCATCACCCTGGGGCATAATGAAAGGACTAAATAGCCTGCAAAAAAAATGTCTTTGTTTTATACACAATCTCTCTCCCAGGAAAAGCAGCCACCCTGAATGGAAAAGCAGAAGCTATAGGCACTGTCCTTGATGACCCCCTCATCTCCAACTGTCCCTGGTGGCCCCTTATCTTCACTGAAGTGTTGGCTTTCCTCCCTTCCAGTCACTGTCCAGATGGGCAGGAAGGGAACATGAAGGTCTTATGTAAGATGCCCATCCAACCAGCAGGTGTTTCAAAGTTAAGGAAAAAATTAAATCTTCATCAGTAGTTGCTACTACAGTTAGCACAATTAAGAGTATCCAAAAAAAGAATAAAGAAGTGGTCAAGTTCTTGATGAAGCTTTCCAAAGAATCCTCTTTGTCTCAGTTTTACTGGTGAGGACAGGATAATACTGCAAGCCATGACTCAGAATGTTGACTGCTCCAGCAACCCCACACCTTCCACATTGGAAAACACATCTCAGAGTTGTATCTCCAGGACTTATGCCTCCTCATTAGAGCAAAGGCTAATTCAAATAGTATGGGCCTGTTTGTAAGTAACTATTCTTAGTATACAATTTAAAGCATTTTTTCCCTCTGTTTTAGAAAATTACCTACCTCTCCTCCAACTACCCAATAGCCAGGAATTACTAAGCAGAACTCAATATTTTCACTGGGAAATCCTAAATATGAATGTGGGTTAACTTATCTATTAAGGCACAGATTTTAAATCAATACTGTCCCTTTAAAAATGTGAAGACTGGAGACCGGATCCCCAGGACTCACGTAAGAATTGGCCCCAGGACAAGCTGACTAGCTTAACTAACTGTGCTCTGAACTTAAGTTTGACTGAGAGACACTGTCTCAACGAATAAAGTAGAAGAACAGCTCAGGTGATCACTGTCGTCAACTTTAGGTCTACACACAGGCACAAACACACACACAGAGACACACATGCACAGATGCACATATACAGATAATACATACACAGACACATACACACACACAGAGACACACATGTACAAAGACATACATGCACAGACATAGACACAGACACACACGTGCACAGACACACACACCAACACATACACACAAACATACACAGACATACACACACAGGGACACATACACACAGGCACACACACAGACACACACATGCACACACAGAGACACACATGCACACACATGCACACCCACATGCACCCCTCCCACACACACACCATATATACACACAGAGAAAAAAAATAAAAATGTGAATAAAGTTCAACCTAGTTTTACAAACAAGATAATATGTTATCC